GATCTTTTCCAAATTTGTCAGCGGTAATTCACGGATTGGAGATCTCCAATTAACCTGGTATTCGGAGCCGTTTTCCGCTCCCATAGTCATGGAGCTGGATAATACCAGTTTTTCGGTGTGGCTAAACGCTATCTCTCTTTGGGTATTCAATGAGCCGGAGACAGAGAAAATGAAAGTCAAGCCTAACTTCCAAAGTTCTTTCTTTGGTTCGATTGAACTCACTATGTTTTTGTCTTCTGTGACTTTGGTCAAACAAGTATTAAAGAGGTCTGAATACTTGGGGCTCTTCGCACTACTTTCGCAATGCGAGCAGACCAGTGAGCAGGGCCAGGTAGCGAATAATATCTATTTCCACCTATATAGTTACAGATGTTTGGTAGGCTGACATATAGTTCGATGGTCTCAAATAGCAATTTCCGACTGAGTCGCTAGTTGTTTTGTATTTGTGGCTTTGTATACAACGAATCCTTTGAAACTTGGTAGTAAAAGATTATCAAAATTATCAAAGATGTTGAGTTTCGGGGGAAATCACCAACTCTGTCCGTGCGACTGAGAATAGGATTACGGCAAAATTCTTTTCATTATCAAAAAAATTTCCTATTCACAAGCTTTATTGCGCCATGAATGAACAGGCTTCTGTTTCATTGATATCTGTATGTTATGAGAAACTTATCAATCTACGAGCTTTATTGCGCCATCAGTTGAGGACGATCATTCTATTCAAGAGCTTACTGAACAATTTCCTCTTTTGACTTGTCAGCTGCGTACCTAGAACCTCTGTATACACTACCCGGAAAACCAGAGTTTTCTGGATTCGTCATCTAACTATTCATGATTCGCAAAATGGTTTCCGAATATTTCTTCGACATACACGAACATGCAATACAGGTAGATTTTTAACGGTTCTGTTCCCGTATTAACTGCCTAGCTCTCATCCAGCGTTGAAGGTGCAAGGAATCCTAGTAAACAAAGTTCATACTATTACAACATAAAAACTTTATTTTTACTCGCCGCTTACTTTATTTAGTATCTTAACTACCTCATGACTAAAGCTTAAATTCTGAGAAACCAGCAACAAAGCAAGATTAACGGCTGTTTCCCGACGGGCAGCTGACTAACTACAAGAAAAGAGCTGCATCAACCCTAAGATCAGTCACCTGAGGAGCACGTCAATCCAGTTCGAAAACCCGTTGCTCAGAAGAAAATCGTTTCTCACTAATGGACTAATGGCCCAGATGTTAATATGCCATCCTCGTGAAGCCAGGACTGACGGATTGTCGATACCCTCCCAGTGCCACCCAGTGAGACAAGGCATAACGTACCCATAAAGCGCGGCATGAGAGATTCCATCTCAAGGTGCCAGGCAATCCACCTCGGGATGGGCGAAAAAGCCTCGACTCCCACAGCGTTTGTGATTGAATCAGCATTCTCCACGCCGCCGACTTGGCTAACGTACGTTCCATTTTAGCCAGCAAGATACCACTCACTATCGAATGTACACGTCGTACACTATGCCTTCCCACAATTTCAATCACTCTGAACGGACGAACATTTATTACGTCAATGAAATAGAGAGAGTGTATCCGCCCCCACACGCAGCCACTGATGTGATTAAACAACATCCGTCCGGAGAGCGTCCGATGACGTTTGGGAAAACTTGTTGGATGGTCGACGCCACTTAGTGCTATAGGTTCAAAGATAGATGGTGCGCTTGAAATCAGGCTTTTTAGGGACTTGTTCGTAGTTGGACCTCGAAGAAAGAAGCACAACAAGTACATTCATGCGTGCTCCGTTCCTAGGTATGCGTGAGAAAGATATAGACATAGAACGGAGTTTGGAACATATGATACCTAGCCAGCAGTCTCCGGCATCAAATCAGTTTTGCAACGATGCCATATGCCCGCCAAACTTCTAACTTCTACGAGGTGGGAGAAAAATGATGTGGGTCATGTCCACCCGAAAGTACGCGCGCTTGAGCAGCTGAGCAGCTGAGTATCTGTTGTGATGGTCGTATCTGGGTATTACTAGAGCGACATACGCAGTAGGAAGCTAGTAAGGTTCTGCATGCCATGAAGGCCTCATCTGGAAATCAATTGCGTATTCATAGTATTTGTTCTCCTGTTACGTGACTCCAGACGAACGAGTTGTCGAGAAAAGTCGGCTTACCTAGGTTTAGAAATGCATTTATATCAAATAAAAAGAAAGGTATGGTCAACTTACCACTAGAAAGAACATTCGCACAGCAAATCGTAGCCAACATTTAACTTTCCCATGGCAGAAGTTCTATTCGCATCCATCTCTGAGTGGACTTATCCTCCCAACTCCAAATAGTTCGATTACTCGCTCACAGACAAGACTCACAATTGGAAAATAAACTATTTATCGGCGCAATCTGCGTTAATGTTGAGACAGGTAATCTCAGACGCCTTATTCTGTACCTCACAATCATTGCATTTGCAGGTCGATAAGCGAAATGTCCCATACAAAACAGCCATCATTCGACCAAAGAAAGAGCCTCACAACGCGAAATCCTGTAAGGAATGACATTTCCTCCCTTTTTCTTCTCAGACGCTCACAGTACAAGCAGCAACTCATACTTGTAGACGTTGGCTTTGATGCACGTGGGCGGAATATGAATGATAAACTCGGCTATCTCCCCCCTTAGTGACTATGCCCTTAGTTCGACAAACCAAATGCTTTTGGTGAGCTATCTTCGTTCCGGGCAGGTCCCTCGGGCATTTTCAGGCTTGTAGTAGATGCGTTGTTGTTGTGTCCTGAAAAAAAAAATTTAAGGTTGCAACCTAGTGGGTGTCAGTGAGCTGAACAGCCAATCATGGCTCCTGAGTGACAATCCACCACACGAAGGAGTATATGTATGATGCATTAGTACATGTACATCCACGATTTCATATTCCCTTACTTTGAAAAGTTCACAGCTGTTTCCTATTCCTGGGTCAAACCAAGATTTTTGTCGTCTTTAACTCACCATGTCCCCTTCAGGACATGACACCAATACAGATGAAACACAGATAAATAATCCTCAGGGAATAGTAGAGTCTTCACAACCCAACGTCGAAAAACAGGGCATCGTCGAACCGGACAAGGCTGTCAAGGTGTCCTTGTTTAAGGGCCTTGGGATTCTCGATCGATTTCTTGCACTATGGATATTCCTTGCGATGGCAATCGGCATTATCCTTGGTAATTTTGTCCCCAACACTGGTCCAGCGTTGAGAAAAGGAACATTTGTTGGTGTTTCCGTCCCCATTGGTATGTTCAGGGCATGGCTTTCTTTTCATTTTTCCTTTACCTTCCGTTTCTTTTAGCCAGGTGCTGATGAGGTTTTAAGCAATTGGTCTTTTGGTCATGATGTACCCGATCCTATGCAAAGTGCGCTATGAATCTTTGCACCGCCTCTTCCAAACTCGCCAAATATGGATCCAGATTTCTTTCAGCATTTTTGTCAATTGGGTCATTGCCCCCTTATTAATGGCAAGTGTCGCACCCTCTCTCGTGTGGTCAACAGAACATAGTGGCTAATATGCCATGTCGTCTTTAGTTGGCTTTGGCTTGGGCTTTTTTGCCAGATAAACCGGAGCTTAGAGAGGGTCTTATTATTGTTGGGTTGGCAAGATGCATAGCAATGGTGGGTAGAGGAAAACTCCACCATTATAGCAATTCACGCAAGCTCCGGTTAAAGCTAACGGGTTGGCATCGTGTTCCGTAAACTGTAGGTTTTAATTTGGACGGCCCTTTCTGGCGGTGACGGCGAATATTGTGCTATCCTCGTGGCTGTCAATTCGCTGCTTCAAATGGTCCTCTTCGCGCCACTTGCTATTCTTTTCATCAATATAATCGGCAATTCTGGCAGCCAAGCCACACTATCTTACTCGACTGCAGCCAAAAGTGTTGCAGTTTTCCTTGGAATCCCACTTGGAGCTGCGATCGTGACTCGATTTAGTCTACGGAAACTAGTCGGTCCGGCTTGGTATGAATCCACGCTCTTGAAGTGGATGAGTCCATGGTCTCTCATAGGCCTCCTCTTCACCATCTTCGTGCTGTTTGCCTCCCAGGGTCGGCAGGTTGTTCATCAGATAGTTTCAGTCGTCAGAGTCTCGGCTCCTTTGATTGTCTATTTCGTCATCGTATTCTTTGCGACTTTATTCGTCACCTACAAACTTGGGTTTGGTTACAAACTCTCTTCCACGCAGAGTTTTACTGCCGCCAGCAATAATTTTGAGCTCGCCATTGCTGTTTCTGTTGCGACATTTGGACCCAACAGCAACCAGGCTCTAGCATCAACCGTCGGACCACTGATCGAGGTGCCAGTGTTGCTCGGCCTAGTTTACGTTGTTAAAGCAATCGCGAATCGGGTGGGTTGGAAAGATTGACATTGGAGAAGCCCCTTCGAACATTCGAAAGGATAGGAAAATAGGAGTTGGCTTTGGTCATTGTGACAGTGTTAGATAATGGTTTTCTCAGCGCGAAGGTACTTTCAGGCCTTGATTTGATAATCTAGCGGTTAATGGAGAGACATAAATGTCATTACCGAAATGAATATAAGTAGACTCCAGCGATACACACCTGATTTCACTCTCCCCCATTGGCTGATAATGATTATATGCCCTGTGCCATTTCTAGTTCAATATAGCTAGAAGGTTAATAATTATTTGAGCGACAAAAGGGCGGCCATCCTCCAACCCTGAGAAAGCATTGGGCCCAATCGATAACCATGTAAATTAGTCGAATGACAAGGGTAATTACCGGGTGCCATTTGTGTAGAACATTGGGGCAAAAGAGCTCAATCATCATCATGCTATGGCAACAGTTTATGGTTACTTTGTCTCTCTTCTGGTTTGAAATTTTGAGTTGACTGTTCTGCAAGCCCTTAGGCCAATTGCTTATCGAGCGACAAATAAAGAAGAGCACCAAAAGAAAAAAAATTCATCGCGATAATCATCGAAACAGTGGTATCTGAATTGTTACTATTTGAATGATCTTATCGTATGTACACGCCATGAATATCATTTGGGAGCAGAATTTGGAGGTTGAGGACAACATGACATAAGCAATGACATAATGGGCAACTAGCTTGAGAAGCTTGCGCGCTAGTCTGTTTTTGGAACGCTTGAGCTCACCCGTGTGACGACAAAAAGGCTTCATTGTCAGCAGCGATATTAAACACCAACATACATAAGTGGACGCCTTTCATCAATTGCCCTTTGGCAATTCTTAAAACTAGTATCATCACAGCATCGTACACAACCATATTACAACTTGGTTTAAGAACTTTTGTGCTTTGTCAATATGGAGGTGGCTTCTTCCCTTCACCCGCAGCCTACCAATGGCACAAATCTCAATCCCAGCATGATAGATTCCTCCATGGATATCGACATGGACCTTGATCTAGGTCCTTTACCAGAACCAGAACCAGAACATGTTGGAATTGTTAGTATAATTCACACTGCTCTACTATCACTGTATCTTTCTAATAGCTATCTGTATAGCAGGCGCAAGTTCCATCAGTTACGGCAGAAGAAGCAGTGGCAAGCTCTCACCTCAACGAGGAGCCTCAGTTTGAAAAGGTTCACATCCGGGGAGTTGATGAACTTACCACAGAGGATCTAAAGCGGTACTCAAGTGAGCATTTCGTGACAGAAGAACTCACCCGGATAGAATGGATCGACGACACGTCTGCAAATCTGGTGTACAGCTGTACCGACATCGGGCTACAAGCGCTGGCTACATTTTCACAACAAAATCCCGAGGAGGACCCGTCGCCATTACATTCATTGCGACTACGGACGGCGAAATCCCTATCTACACACCCAGAGTCGGTTTTGCAAGTACGAACAGCGGTGAAGACAGATCGAAAAAGGCAACGAGCCCACGAATCTAGTCGTTTTTATCTTATGCATCCAGAGCATGATCCCCGCGAACGAATGAGGAGAGAGTTTGCCGACAGACGGCGTAGCGGTCGGCGGGACGATAGTGAGAGTGATTACACCAGAAGACGATTCGATGACAGGGAACATAGACGAAGACGGGGTCGTGCCAACGAAGAAAATCTCAGCGAGAGTATGTACGATGATGACGGGGGCCGGAGTAGAGAGAGGAGCGGCTCAAATGAAGGCAGGTTGAATGGAGATAGAGGTAGAGATAGATCGAGACGTGATAGGCGAGATACGATTGAACTTTTTCCTGATGACGGCCCTGGCTCGTCAGGGCGACTTCGGGATCGTAGCGCTTCTCCGCTTAGAATGGAATTCGACCAAGACTCAACGCTAGATAGCCGGGAACGGACCCGTAAATCATTCAGAAACCGCTCTCCAAGAAACAGCCGAAGCAGAGATCTAATGTCACGGGCTAACGAATACGCTACTATCGATGACGGCTCTGGGCGTCCTGAGCTATTCCCGAATAAAACAACATCCAGCTACCTCAAAAGGGAGCTTTTCCCCAAAAAATCCACCTCGAGCAACCATCGCCGTTCGGATGCGTTCGATGCTGCGGACGAAACCGCAGATCTATTTCCTAAACACATGCCTGTTCCATTGATGGATGGCGCCAGTGGTGGCGAGGCATCCGGCAGATCAACAGGTCCGGTTGAATTATTTCCAGATAAAAGTGACAACAATGGTATGAGCATTCATGTTGCTGCCTCGGAGGACCAGGGGATCTCTATACGCGGTGCTGCCCAAGGAATATCTATCAAAGGTGCTGCCTCCGTTAGAGAGCTATTTCCTTCCAAGTATAACAGCAATGAGGGGAAGGAGCTGTTTTCTGACAAGCTTCAAGGCCGAGGGGGCAAGCGTAGGAAAGCGGAGGATATGTTCTCCTAAGGGAATTGACGTTTTTGCTCTTTATTTCCTCCGTTTGCTCGCGATGATTTGATGATAGGTCAGATGTTTGGACAGATAAATATATTTTTATTAGTTTTGTTCCTGTCTCTTCCTTTCGCTTTGGGTAGTTAACTATCATATTCCTTCTGGGTCAATCTGACATGAATTTTTTAATAGAGAGGGTATATTATTAATTTTTTTATTTGTATTTTGGCAATAAATCTCTCAGTTCTCCAGTATGGACAGTGGGTTGTGACGCCATTTAGTAGATACAATAGTTATTAACAAAGGCAGCACGGGGTGCTTCCAACTTCCAAGCGTGAACCTCCATTCCCAGAATCAAAGACTCTTGTCGGAATCATACGCAATTTTCAAGCAATTTTCAATACTATAATTACGTGGTGGACTTCTAAGCCAGTGGTGGAAGATGAATCTGGCATTTACCAGACTCATCAAGCGCCTAGCTGCCGAGAATACGGTATAAATATACAACTATTTCGCCATGTTCCGCTTCATCCTGTCATGGTACGGCTTTTTTGCCTCCCAAGCCTCCCCAGACTGATCATCTCTAGGAAACAAGCCAAAGTTAAAACGGGAAGATGCAAATACTGTAAAATACAGAGAGCACTGCAAGAAATTTCAAAAGGGACTCTCCAATGTCCTCATCTCCATCTCCCCGTCCGCCCTCTTTATCACCATGCGTCCTCGTAGCTCGGTTCCTCAGGTCCAACAATTACGAGCAAACACTAGCAGCATTTCTCGAAGAAACGGGCCTGCCGCCCGACTTAGGTCTCTCGGCTTTGGAGCCAAGGAGTGAGGATTGGACTATTGAGAAAATTCTGGAGGAAAAGATGGTTTTTGATAAATCCCTGGAATTTGAAAGAACTGCCCATGAAGAAGGGCAGGATGGGTGGAGCATTCCTGGTGAGTTTTTCTTTTTCTCTTCTCTCTCTCTCTCTCTCTCTTTTTTTTTTTTTTTTTTTTTTTTTTTTTTTTACAAATTTCGACTTTAAGGAATATTTTATATATCCTCGAAATTTTCTTAATACCCAGATCTTTCCGGCTAAATGTGCTTTATATTCTCGGTTTGCACTCTGTCGCGCCTTGATATATGTTACTGCTGGACGGCAGGTCAGTTTGTTATCCTTATAACGACTCGACGATCCCAAGCTTCATCCCTAGAGTAGAAGAGGCACTCATCTACTTATGTCAGTAAATCATGTACTAAACCAGACCCTAGCACCATCGACACCAAACATCATTGAGACTCCAAGCAAGTCGAACCTAGTCACCGTCACTGTTCAACCCTATATAAAATCATCAGAAGATGGCCATCCGGAAGAATCGTCAGTGATCATTGCTTCGGGGGCGGACAAGCGCGTGAGTCTCTATGAAGTTGACGCCCCCTACTCTGTCATATCTACATTCAAAGACCTAGTAGATTCCCCTCTTCTTTCTGGCACCTGTCTCTACGATGGCGCATACCGAGCCACGACAACGATGTCCGGGCAACTATTGCTATTCCAAGGACAGAAAATTATAGCATCCAGAAAAGATCATACCAAATGTGCCGTAGCGGTGGTGGCGTTCCAGGAAGAGCAGCCGATATTCCAAACCACGTGGCTAGCGACGGCGGGGTGGGATTCGAGAATATATATCTACCGCATCACAATCCCAGATGTAGGTGCGCAGCTCACAATCGGTGAACCGCTAGCGGTTATCAAAACGGCCACGGTACCGGAGTGCATTCTCTTCATGCGCAGCCAGGGTACGGGGGATCTAGTCCTTCTGGCCTCTGTAGCTGATTCAACAAACCTATACTATTACCTCGTCGAATCGCCCCTTAACAGGCTCGAAAGAGGGCATAGAACGATCAACAATCAACCGCACGAATGCCCACTTCTTGGAAAGCAGGATCTATCACCACACTCGAATGCATGGGTTGCGTTCTCCCCCGCCTGTTTTGCTCTTAGTCCGCGAGACCCAACCCTTCTTGCTGTCGCGACGTCAAGCCAGCCGTATATGAAACTCATATTTGTGCGGATTCTCATGCCATCGGCATCACCATCTACACCGCCTGAACGTAGGCAAAGCTCCGGCCAGCGGGTGACACAGGCATTACGCGCGATGGCAGATCTTGGCATCCATAATCGAGAGGACGCTGCCATCCTTGCTCAAGTGAACACGATGGCGCCACAAACAGCATATTCTACCCCGCAGGTTGTTTGGAGGCCCGACGGGTCTGGGGTTTGGGTTAATGGAGAGGATGGGGTGATTAGGGGTATAGACGCTAGGACGGGGAAGCTGGTCGTGTCTTTGACAGGAGGACATGAACCTGATACCAAGGTCAGGAGTATCTGGGCAGGTTGGGTTCGCTTGAATGACGGAGAGAATGAAGAACGGCTGGTTAGTGGTGGATTTGATAAGAAGTTGATTATGTGGACGCCAGAGCGTAGATAATGAATCCAAACCTGAAAAACTTTGTGCATAATGCTGCTCGGGTAAGACTACTTTGGCTCAAGAGAATAGCCCGAGTTTGCCATTAATATATTGGACACTACCAGAGCGCAGGTATCGTTGATATGTGTGTAGATTAAAAGTGGAGATGGAAACCGATGAAATCAGTGTTTTAAAAAAAGTAAACATATAAAAGAAGTAATAATCCAATTGCAAAACATTATGGATAATATAATATATACGTAGTATGTAGCACATCTGTCCATGCACCTTCGCACCATGGGGAGCAAGGAAAAAGGTGTTTGGTAATTAGACGGCAGGGGAATTCGATATCGGCACGAAAAGATAATAATCCTTCAGCAATTGGGCATGGAGAAAAGATCCACTGCTGTACACACATATGCCTGTTTTGTCCCACTAGAGGAAAGGGACCATTCAGAGGAAACGCGCTTACCGGTCGCGAGAACCGCTGACAGCCGCAATGAACCGAAAACCGTCGACAGATTTGTGAAAGTAGCCGGAGAAAAGGAATGGTATTTAGAGACCAGGGTACAAGGTTCAGTTCCGTGGCATTGTGAGCGAACCAAGCTGCCTTCGAATTGGGGAGAATAGTGTCATTCCAACTGCCACCGCTGATCTAAGGCATGGAGCACGACACATACTCCCGAACTCACATAGTTATCAGCTTTTTGGACAGACGTGGAATGAAGCTAGAAGAAGGAAATTTCCGCAGAAAGGCTTAAAGCATTTTCAGGGTTCTCCGATTTTCGAAGCCAGGCTAAAGATCTATCGACATAACACATGGAAGTATAAAACTGGACCGTGACCCGGGAAACAGAAAACAAAAAGAAGTCGTTTATGCGGATTCTCTCTTGCCCTCCCTCATCTCCTTCTGTAATAGTGTGTCAGTTGATGATTTTGAACTGGGTCAGGGAAATACATGTCCTTCATGTGGATGTGAAGTGTCATGAAATCAAACACGTACCAGCGCCTTCATGGTACCATGCAGAGCATGTCTGTGGTTCCGTCGGAACTTAGGATCTGTGCCCCTGAGGGAAGGATAGCGGTGGGTCTTTGGCTTTTTGATCCTGTTAAGAAGAAAGGTCCAGAAATCAGCATTTTGTCCCTTCGCGATGTACCAAAGTAGAGATCATCTGCAGGCAACTTGTAGCTCGAGCTGTCACAATATTCCAGAGGAATATCGAATGCAACATATATGAAGCGGGAAACAAAATGTTCACGTACCCGTTCCGGTGGGCTTTCTTGTTCACCGTTTTCTGCGAGCTGTTCTTGGACTCTGTTACGGAGCGAAGTTGTCAGTACGCAAGGCTCAGCATGCAAATAATGGTGACAAATCTGACAGAGGTAGAGACACGGATGATACATACTGGCCATTTTGACGGGATTGTCGCAACAGAAGCGCTGTTGGAGTCGTAGCTGTGTTGACGGAGGTTGGACTGCCAAATGCTGAAGATGCGCTCGCTTAGGGCGGGAGATTAGTTTGTGTGGGAATGGATGGTTCTCGCTTAGTCACGTGGGCTCTCTCAGCATCCGTCCGACTCTGCGCAGGAAGCAGAAAACTTGACCTCGCTAAGTGCGCCACTTGACCTCGTTACATAATCATGACCCCGACCTCGCACAATACAGTAATAATCAGTTGGTAATTGACTTTCAATCTTTCAATCCACTCATAGTCTCATTGTAAGAAATCCCGCTCCTCGCGGATCCTTTACCCCTATTCCTATCTCTCATGTAACCAATAGGGCTAGCGGCCCTTGGCTACACACAACTATATAGACTGGAGTTCATGAATACTATTCACAACTCAGCTTGAATACTATTATACATTTAATCTCTATATTTATCTTTCTACTATGAACACTTCTAGTAGTTAACAGTATATATCATGTCAAGCTGTAAATATCTGAATAATTGTCTGTAAGTACTTATTCTTACATTTCAAGCTCAGTCAGTCAGCAATTATCTGTTATAACTGAAAGAACTAGAAACTTATATACTTTAATCTCTATAAACTCTACTGCAGACACTTAGAAGCAGTTACTCAAATCATGAATAATCTCTGTAAAAGAAGTCTTAGAGAACTTATCAATTACTTACAGAATATTATTCTCTATATCTGTGATAGAGAAATTCTTCAAATTCATAAATAAATCAATCTTAGTGAAGAATATTCTTAAGTATCTTTCACAGAACTAAGCTATTTTTCTATAAGAAATACTTACTGTCTGTAAATACTCTTAAATCAAGTCTCTAGACATAATCTTCAGAGATACTTATAAACTGAAAAGAAACTTTCTCAAGTTATAATTACTTAAGATTATCTATTGAATCATAATCTATAAAAGCTTTTATAAGTTTGTATTTGAAATTAACTTATAAGTCTGACTGTGTGATATAAAAGATAAAGAAGCTGTTATTTATATAATAACAGATCTCTATTATACTGAAGTTAAGAACTGACTGAATTATCTAGAGAATAATTATAAGAGATTCTGATAATCTATTCTCAAGACTTATTTAGAGAATAAGTTAAGAGACTCTGTGAGTCAGACAGAGAATATCTGAGCTGTAATTATTAATATTAGAAAAAGAGATGAGAAATCTGATAAAGACTACTTACAGCACTTTATAAAATTATAATATGAATTGAGATCTGTGAAAACAGAGCTCTGAAATAAGATCTGAATAATGATATTTATAAAGAAGCTGAATAAAGATATATAGAATAAGCTTATTAAGTAAGACTCTAAGTTCTTAACTCTGAAGAAACTGATAACTCTTATTTATTACTTATGAATTACTGTGAGAGTCACAGACTTATAGAGAGTGAACTATTAACTGACTCTGTAAGAGTCAGAATAACAGAGAACAGATTTATCAGAAAAAGATAATAAAATATAGAGAGATTTATATCTGACTGCTAAGTAGAGAGAAAGAGCTTTATAAGCTTTTATAAACAGAGTGTATAATAGAGAGATTAAGAAAAAGAGACTCTACTTTATCTGTTCTAAATCAGAATATCTTCATATAAACTATTCAGATAAATTAAAATAGAAATTTGAGAAGTTATAAACAGAGTCAGTAATAGTCTTTTTAAGAGTTTTAAAGCTAATATCTGAATCTGTTACTTCTTCAATGAAAATACTTACTTATAGAAAGAGACTGCACTGCAGTACTACTGCTCTATAAGTATAAGAAGTATTAATGAACTCAGAATCTCAGGTCACTGTGATATCTTTAAAGCTTATGAAGTAAATGAGCTGAAAGATAAAGATTGAAAACCTGCTCTTATAATAAGTAGAATATGAGAACTCAGATCTGAGAGCTGAGAAACTTATAAGAGTCATTTTTGAATTACAAGATCTCTCTGAAATCTGAAGAAGATTTGTGAAAACTATGATTATCACAGATATTATAGATAATATGTATTTAAGACTTATATAACTTTAAAGACACAATCTGCACATAGCTGTCTATAAGTCAGGTTTATACTTTTAATCAGTGTTGACAGACTCACTTACAGAGATAGAAGCAGTTAATACTATAGAGTTAATTAGAGAAGATAAGCTCATCTATATAATAACTTTATAAGTATCTGAGAATCTCACAGTTATGAAAACTGAGCTTCAGATATTAGAGAAATACTGAGATCTTATAGAGATGTTCAGTTTAACTAAGATAGCTGAGCTTTCTTCTCACTATAAGAAGAATCTGATAATAAATTTAATAGAAGAGTAGAAACTCTTCTGAGAATTAATTTATAAACTCTCTTATTATAAGACAGAGATCTTACAGATCTATGTGAAGAAGAATCTAAAGAATAACTTTATTTAATCTTTATAGACCTCTGTAAGAGCTTCTGTGATATTTGTAAAGAAGAAGAATGAAGATCTTAGATTATATATAGACTACTATGATCTGAACTTCAAGATAATAAAGAGCTGCTACTTTCTGTCTCTGATTGAGAATGTAATTAACTATCTTATGAAAGCTATTATATTCACATAACTGAATATGATTAATATATATACACAGCTATAAATACAGTCTGAGAATGAATAAAAGACTGTCTTTAAAACTGCACTGAAATTGTTTGAATATTTAGTAATGTCTTTTAATCTGATTAATATCTCTGTAGTATTTCAGTCTTTTATTAATAAAACACTTCACATATATCTGAATGTCTTTATAATAATATATCTGAATAATGTGATAGTATACTCTGTAAAGAAGAAAGAACACACTGAGTATATGTAAAGTATGTTAAAGATCTTAGATGAGACAGAACTGTATATTAAGCTTATAAAGTGTAACTTCAGTGTCTGTTAGATTAATTTTCTAGAATATATAATTACTATAAATAATATTCAGATGAAATCTTCACAGATTAAGACTATTCTATTATAACTAAAGTTAACTAGTATTTATAAGATTCAGATCTTTCTGAGCTTTGTGAATTTCTATAGACAGTTTATCTTTATATTCATGAGAATCTTCTTGACTCTTATAGATATACTGAAGAGTGAAAATAAGAAGAAGTCATTCTATGAATGAAGAATGAAAAGATTATTAAGAAGAGAGAACTGTGAGAACTTTCTTATCTCAAAAGCTTACAGAGTCTTTATAAGATTAAAATAGATATTCATGAATACAGTGATACTGTTTCACTTTAATCTCTTACTCTTAATTAGATTGAAGACAGATGTCTTCTTCTTTATAATTTTAGAAATAGTTTTATAACTACAGTTAAATAAGAACTGAGTTTCAGTGATCTTTTTCTTATAAAAGATATAACTCACAGAGATTAACTATGATATTTATAATTAGAAGCTTTTTATAATAGTGAAATTCTTTCATCACTGATATCACTACTTTAAGAGTCTTATAACAGTGATTACTATTAGAACTGATCATAATAGCTTATAACAGTTTACTTTAATTAAGAAACTCTCACAGTGACAGATTCACTGAACTCAGAGACTAAGTGAGTTCTGATTTAAGATAGAATATATTAAGAGAACTAAGAACTCAGCAGATAGATTCTCTCACAGATCAGACTATGTTAAGAAGATCAGAGTAACAGACATAGAGAGACTAGAGAAGATAGAAAAGCTTTATAAGATGCTCAGACTGAGTGTTATAAAGAGATTGACTGAAGAGTCTCTCAATCTCTTATAAGAGAAGAGAGAAGAGAAAGAGAAGAAGTCTGTATAACTACTTTCTATAACACTGAGAGTTAACACTCTGAGAATCTCTGTGAGAATTCTTGAAGAGAGTATCTATAATCTGAAGAGTTTGTGAGCTTTGAGAAGCACTGTAGAAAATCTGATATAAGAGAAAACAGAGTATAAGTCTTTATAAAATCTTCTATTCAGATTGTCTGAACTGCAACTGAAGAATGAATATACTCAGTATATTTAAAAACTACTCACAGCAGAGATCAATTCTGCAGAAATAAAGAATTAAAGAGATTTAAATAATCTCTTATAAAGAGAGAGCTGAATTTATGTATCTGTAAATGAGTTTCTACATGTAGAACTTATTAAAAGGTATTATAACTCTTCTCTAGTGAGTTATTTTATAGATACTAGAACTTATAAGTTGCTTATAAGAAAATACTTCTAATCAAAGATGTGAGAACTTGTAAAGAAGATAGTAAATTCTTATACTATTTATCAGAGTTTGTGAGTAGTATGATTCAGATTATATGAAGAACTTACTTCTCTATTCATCTTATAAAAACCTTAAAAACAGCTAGAAATGAATGCTCTTGTGAGTCTCTCTAAAAGTAAGAATATATATAATACCTGCTTTGACAGTGTGCTGATAATAGTGAATTACTTTATCAAGATAGCACACTTTATACTCATCTATAAGAACTTGAAGTTAAAGAATTTAACTTATATCTTTATCTGTGATGTGATCTGATTGCATGAATTATCTGTGAACATTGTCTTAGATAAAGAATTAATCTTTGTAGAAGAGTTCTGATCTAATCTGATAACTATACTGAAGATCTCATAAGATCTAAGTACAGTTTTTTATTAACAGACAGATAATCAGATAGAATATTTGATAAGTATATTAAAACAGTATCTGCAGTGCTTTGTCAATTATAATCAGAATGACTGAGTGTATTGATTATTACTTACAGAGTTCATGTATAACAACTTAAAACATGTCAGCACAGATAAAACTCTCTTTGAAATGCTTACTAAGACTTATCTGTGAATAATCTTGATGAACCTGTGAGAGTACACTATAGAGTGTGATAATGCCTGTGAATGAGCTGAGAGAATTCAGAAGATTCAGAAGAAAGTCTATAAATTCTTGAAAAAGACTTAAGAGTATCAGAAGAGATACTATGACTTCAAGCATATTATAAAGAGTTTTAAGAAAGATAATAGAGTCTGACTGAGTCTAGAAAACATTATTATATAAAGATCTAGTAAGAAGCTGAATCTCTTGTGAATAAAGTCTTATAAGATTGTGAAGAAAGTTAGTTCACAGTTCTACAGATTGAAACTGTTATCTAGTTTACAGATATATAATGTTTTTTATATCTCTTTACTCTGTGAATATAAGAAATTCTTAGAAGAGAACTCTGTGACTCATCACTCTGTCTACAAAGTACTAGAGAGTGAAAGAGAATATCAGATCAAAGAGATTATTAACTCAGAGAAGTGAGATTGTAAGCTCTGATTCAAGATTCAGTGATAAGAGTATTCTGATAAGATGAATAAGTTTACTTAGAAATTATCTGAGTAGATAAGATATCTGCAGAAGCTGAGACATGACTTTTATACTATGAATTTTGATAAGTCAGAATAGTGCAGTCTTTGCTAAGAATCTGATTGTGATAAAGATATTAACACTGTCATTTGTAAATTCTAGTCTATAAGATAATGAGTTTCTACTGAGATGAACAGTCTGCAGTGTATATAAGAAAAGAAGAAAATATATTCTTATTAAAGCTAAAAAATAAGAAAATAAACAGAGCTATGAATACAATTTAGAGACTAATAAAGAAAAAATAAAGAAAACTCACACTTACATCATTAATACTCATGACACTTAATTCTCTTATAACTACTAATTTTTCTCTTCAAAGAAGCAGAGAGTATTATATCTGTAGTACAGATAATTATTACATTTGATATAAAGACTGTCAGAAATACACAGACTTCAGAGAAGCTGAATATCAGAGTATATATAGTTATAGCAGAATCTTAAAGACTGATTATCTGCATATATAATCAGATATTTCTTATGAAGCTGTGTCTACTCTCTCAGTTATACTGAAGTATTCAGTCTAAAAATAATGAAGATATGAAGAGAGAGCTCATCTACTCAGATTAACTTTTATTATGAATTCATGATATTTGTATTGTCTTAATTACTCAGATTTTGTGAGTATCTGAAGACTTATCTTTTATTAATAATGAGATTGCAGAAATGCACTGCAGTGTGAGAATCATTAATAGAAAACCTAGACATATTTGTATATACCTGGTCAGAGATTGTGTGAGCAGAGAGAGAGTAATTATAGGTCTATGAGACTGTAGAAGACACTGACAATATCAGAAGCTTTACAAGAACTGTCAGCTAGAGTCTGTAAGAAATTACTTATGAGAAGACTTATAGCAAAGAGAGAGACTGCACTGCTTAAAGTCAGAAGCTGATCTGAGAAAGAAATGAAGTGAGCTGCTGACCTGAAGATCAGATGCAGTGACAGAGCTGAGAGAAATGAAGATACAGTTGTGAGTGACAGTGTCTCTGCTTTATCAGCTGATAAAAAGTAATTAGAGAAGTTATAAAGACACTCACAAGAAGCTCAGCAGTGATCAGATATTATTTATAAAGATATTGAAATTAAAAAATTTTTATTCTTGAGAAGTTCTTGAATTAATATATGAATATTGTCAGAAACACTCTCTCTCTGTCATCTGAGTGAAAATACTTTGTGAATAAATGAGAATACTTACAGTTTGTGAGAATGAAAGCTGTTATAGAAAAAGAGAAAAGAAGATGAGATTCTATGAATAGATCTGAAATATTTATACTACTCTAGAGAGATTTGTTTACACTATAAGTGATTCTATAGAATAGTCAGATCACTCTAGTAAATAAGAGTGATTATGAATTACAGATCTGAATCTTTCTATATAACTATAAAGAGTGATTGCAGACTGCAGATATCTTGATTCTATAATTCTATAGAGTTAATAAAAGAATGAAAAATTTCTCACAATTCTACAGTATCAAAGAGCAATGATTTATAAGAATAAATGAAAGATTAACTTATAAATATTTCTCTTTGATAAGAATAATCTCATAGAGAGTGATTCATCTGTAAGATAAATCTATGTAATAGTTATATAAGAATCTTGTGAAAATGATTGAGAGTCAATCAGAACTCTTCTATATAAAAGATATGAGATGAATCTGTGTAGTAGTTAGAGAAGAATCTGTAAATTACAAAGAATCTCATGAAATAAGAAACTGAGTGACAGACTCTTTTCTCTTTATAATAATAAGAGATTTTTCCTCACTGAGATTTTTTATAGATGTGAAGAGTTTTTAGTAAGTATTACTGCAGTGCTGAGCTGACTATGAAGTCACTCAGTGAAAGGCTTCACAGATGAAGCCTTAGAGAGGAAGAAGTATATAAGAAATCTCACTTCTCATGAATTCTTTATCTCTATTTCTATCTCTTACATAATCAATAGAGCTAGCAGCTCTTGACTACATATAACTATATAGACTGAAGTTCATGAATACTATTCACAACTCAGCTTAAATGCTATTATACATTTAATCTCTACATTTATCTTTCTACTGTGAATACTTCTAGTAGTTAACAGTATATATCATATCAAGCTGCAAACACCTGAATAATTGCCTGCGAGTACTTATTCTTACACTCATTCATTCAGCTCATCAATCAATCAAAGCATGTATAGCTGATTCATAATCAATTAAATGAATAGATAAATTCATATAGAATATAAAGAGATATTTTACAGAATTTTAAAATATATCAAGATAAAAATATTTAATAATTGATTTTAAATTGATTTTAAATTGATTCTAAATTGATTTTAAATTGATTCTGAATTGATTCTGAATTGATTATAGTAATAAAAATAGATTTAATCTATATATTTAAGTAATTAATAATTGATTGAAAATCAGTTGATAATCAATTCAGTATAAATTATATAAATACTTACTTTATTATTAAATTCAAGAATAATTTCAGTATTAAATTGATTTTAAATTGATTTTAAATTGATTTTGAATTGATTGTAGAATTGATGATAAATAATTGAGTGGTTTCAAATTACAAGAAAAGATGTATTGAGCGAGGTCAGGTAGTGGCACAGGCCACATTTGCGAGGTCAGCTTACATAACGAGGTCAAGTGGCGCACTTAGCGAGGTCAAGTTTTCTGTATACACGACTCTGCGCCAACAATGACAGCAACAAAATGTATGATAAAATTCAATAATCAATGCTTGCATTTTGCACCTAGAAATGATACGGATATGTAAAGAAACCAAGTATAAGAATAACTATTTACTGTCTCCTGAGTGTTGTAACATAAAATCACCTGCAATCCTAACATTTTGAGAGGCACTCTTTGTGCTCACCAAGACTTTGTATAAACGCCCCGGGGTGGATCCCGATCTGCCCGGACTCAAAAGAAGTATCCAATATATCTGTAACATCGACATCTAAGACCATAGACCACGATCTTTGATTTTAGAATTATTTGCATCGTGCAAGCATCTAGGCGAACGGAGTCTGCTCTTTCTACAAATCACGTGTCAGCCTAGCCGCATTCGTCCATCTATCCCGAACTAACCAGCCCCAGCTTTCCAACGACCTCAACTTCTGCTCTGTGCAAGACACGCCTCTCCATCTCACATTCCTCTCCTTCCTCCAATTGCACAATGAACTCTTTCCGATTCGCACGGGCTGCTCTCAGAGCAAGCCCCTCTGCATTCAGAGCTCCGCTCCAGCGGAGAGGCTATGCCGATGCCGTGGCAGATAAAATAAAACTTTCCCTTGTTCTCCCGCATGAGGTATGTCTTCTTCCTCCATTCGCGATGCCAGAGCCCAATTGGATACATTATGGTTCGTCATTGGTGACATTCTGCTAATATTATTTGATGTACAGAGCATCTACAAGTCGACGGATGTGTATGTTTTACATCCCCCGCTATTTCCATTTCTTCCTCACTACTCGTTTTCCCCACTGGAACGCCGGAGTCAATGCCAAAATCAAACCAAAAACGTCCTACGTATATAAATCAGAATAAAACTAACCATACGATTTGTCGAAACAACAGCGTCCAGGTTAACATCCCGGCCGAATCTGGTGTCATGGGTGTTCTTGCCAACCACGTCCCATCCATCGAACAATTGAAACCCGGTCTCGTCGAGATCATCGAGGAGTCGGGAGGAACCAAGCAATTCTTCCGTACGTCTAATGAACGTTTTTGAACAATTACTTTTTGAAACGTAAAAGGAGAAGGGAGAAATTATGCATGTTCGCAATGACGATTCTAATATTTTACCTATTTGTTTTTGGCATACAGTGTCCGGCGGCTTCGCTATCGTCCAGCCCGACTCCCAGCTGAGCATCAACGCCGTCGAGGGATTCCCCCTGGACCAATTCAGTGCAGAGGTGAGGAGAAAAACACCCCACCCCTAAAGAACAGCTCGTCTGCAGACATCCATGCATGAATCCAGCGCAAAGGAAGCTGATTTAAAATCGATACCAAAAAACCAGGCCGTGAAAGCGCAGATTGCCGAGGCACAAAAAATTGCCAACGGCAGCGGCAGCGAACAAGATATCGCTGAGGCAAAGATCGAGTTGGAGGTACGGAAAGCAAACCCCACTTGAATAATAATCCCCATATCTGCTGCAACCTCGGAGAGAAGCCACACAGCTAACGTGATTATTTGATTGAATACAGGTGCTGGAGAGCCTGGAAGCTGCGCTCAAATAGATCCGCTTTCTGTACATAAAATAACATTTCCCACCACCCTACCCCTTGTCAAACTAACCACGCCTGGAATTTTTTCCCCTTTTTTTTCCATTATAAAGCGTTGAGCAATGTAGAATTAAAAAATCCAGCAACCACTATCTACTTACATGTCTTCTGTTCAATGACTAAACTTTCAGTTTTAAAAAGCGCTTTATATCTCTATCCTTTGATCTCTCTATATCACTCCTAGCAATCTTTCTAGCGGAACCCTTTTTTTTGCCCTCTTCTCTGTAACTCAGTCAACAGAACAAGTTACATAAAAACTTCTTGTGTTTCATCTTCCGCACGAATTTTAGTAATCTAGTATGAAAAAGCATCACTTCCACTACATTCTTGTTCAGCCATTTATATCTACGCAAATTTTCCGCTCATTTTAATCTCAAACGCATATACATTCTTTTAGATGCAACATATCCTCTCGAAAACTGAATAACAATTGAGTAATGAAAAGAAAAGTTGAGTAATAATACAAAGCACATAAACAGAAAAGATATTTCAATACGAGAGACGCAGAAAGAAAAATGTGAATATAGATGCTGAGATTGATTCTCTAAAGTAGTGTCATGGATCCTGCGCAAAGGAGTTTTTGAGAGCAGTGGGGGGTTGCCAACTTGGAAGAACAGAGAACAAAGAGGGCGAAGATATTCGCAATACAGTGTACGAAAATGTAATGATGAACAAGAATGCCGAGCCAAACTTGGTGTGTTTGGATATCTAGCTTTGATGGGGTATGTAATCGCATCTCTGTATATTTGGAACATGAACGCAAATATATACCTACCAATAGTGGCACAGAATAGAAATAACAAGACTAAATACGGAAGAAGAAAGGCCGGTAGAAGGAATAAAAGCAAGGGGGAATTTGTATAGTTACATTGGAAGTTAGTCATCCAGATCCATAATACGTAAAAAAGAAAGGGGGCGTCAAAAGGCATCAAAAGCGTAGAAAACATCACAAACATAGAGAAAGCTCTCAGAATAAAAAGTCCAAAGATAACATCTCAGAAAGGGAAAAAAGTTGGTAAAGGGGGGGGTTTGCGCAGAATAAACAAACGGATGAATAAACCTTCTCAAGTAAACTCCACATTATGCCTCCCCTGTCTCGACATCGTCCTCCTTTCCGCTCTCCTCCGCTCTCTCTTACTGGCATGACTGCTCAAATCCGTACTACCAGGAGGGGGAGAGGTGAGGTAACTTGAAGGAGTAACACCAGGTATAGGCGGGGGAGGCGGTAATGGGCCAGAGTAACTACTACCACCAGGTGGTGGGACACCGGTGTAGTTCCGGATTGGCGTTGGTGTTGGTGGGCCTATAGTCGATGCTGGCGCGGCAGTGGAAGCACCGCCACCAGCGGCAGCAGCAGCAGCATCCATATCCTCCTGCTGCATGCGTTCCCGCTCTTCGACGCGGCGCCAGTGATCATCCGCTCCCTCATGGCCTGATAGGGAGCTGACACTCCCATGCCGTTGGCGACTAGAGCGGCGAGGATCCTTCCTCTTTGCTCTACGTGACGCAGCTGCTTCCTCTGGTGTTAGGCGGCGGAGCGTGACGCGGCGGCCTTTGTCATTGTGAAATTTTACGTTGATGGAAACGGGCTCGGAGTCGACGGATTGGTCACGACCCCGGCGTCGGCGGCTGGAGTTTGCTGCTGTCGCAGTCGCTGCTGATCCTGCTGATGATCTTTGGGGCTTTTTACCATCACCACCAGCGCCGCCAATTGATGTTACAGTGTCTGATCCAGAGACGGTACGATTATGATGATGATGACGATGGACGGGAGGTACAGGAGGGATATCACTTGGAGGGGGCGCCACGTGGGGGTCTGTACTCTCTGTCATTTCCGTGCTGAATGAGTATCTCCGCCCTGGGGTTCTACGCGACGGCGGAGGTTGGCCATCGCCTGTGTATCTCCGTTGATTTGCGCTCTGTCTCGCTCTTCGCTCATTTTCGATATCCTGCCGTCGAAGCTCTTCGACTCGCTCTTGCTCTTTTCTCTCGCGACTTTTGAAAATTCCTCTCAGCGCGGCAAATGCACCTGCGCCAAAAAGAGCGTTACGGACCCCGTGGCCTCGTTCGCTCTCTTCGAAATACCCGCTGTCAGTATATCCTATGCTTGGTGGGCGGCTAGGAGGCCCATCGTATGCTCGTGGATGGCTAGGTCGTGGCCTCCCTTCCTCGGTATGAGCCAAGGAATCGTCATAGAGACTGTCATGGTGCCCATGTCCATGTCCATGTGCTGGTTCATATCTTCCTGACTCAGTATCACTCTCCCGGTCACGGCGCTTATCAAAGTATTTTTTCGCCAGACCCGCAGCACCCGCAAGGGCACCTATTTGGAGGATGCGTTTCCTCCACCCACTCCCGCCATGGTGGTGATCGCTTTTTTCGTCATCACGATGCGGTCGAGGGGTCATATCTGATTCGTCTATGGAAGTTCTGCTTCGTGACCGATTCCTCATGCGATTTCCAAGCACTCCAAGACCTAGCCCAAGAGCTCCGGCAGTTGCGAGACGGCCGGCGTTGCTGTGACTGTGACCATCTTCAACGATTTCAGGGCCTGACATATAGCTACCACGGCTGTCATAGTCCGCACCTATACGGCGTTCATGGAGGTAGGTGAGGATGAAATAAATGAGGACCAGGGTAAAAACTGCGAGAGCATAGAGGATGAATAGAGCCAATGGCGAACCATAAAGAGCAAGCCCAAGGGGTATTTGGGCAATTCCGAGGAGTGCCAGCGCTCGACCCAGCCATTTATGGAACTAGTCCAAGTCAGCGAATCCATTGATATATATAGACGTGCAAGTAGTCAAGGCTATATGCTAAGTTTTGGAGCTCGACTTACCATAACCTTCAAAGGCATATGGAACAACCGTTTGCCCTTTGTGCGCTTATGTACAAACCAGCCCCAAAAGGTCTGAAAAATGATCATAACATATATCGCCAACCCAATCCCATGATGGGGATTTGTTAAACTCCTGTTAGGTCCGACAGCAAACCATCCTAAAACGAAAACAACAGTCGATAAAAACAGGGAGAGAACGTGGAGCCATATGTGGTATCTTAACGCCCAAAACGGGGATGGAGAATAGAAACGAGCCATTAATATGGCAGTCGGAATGAGGCCTAGGAACGTGATGGCAGCTATAACGCCGTGGGCTCGAATTAAGGAATGGTAGCCGGCCATTTCACGAAATCTGTTCCCCATACCTATTTTAATGATCAGTTCTCTTCTCTTCCTCGTTCTTCTTTACTTTTTGCTTTCAGTATATATTTAAAAGACAAAGCTAAAACCAACCATTATATCGCATCGTTTCGAAATTCAAGCCCATCAAATTCGGCAGAAGGAAGGTATTCCGCTGCGAATCCCATGTTCCATCCCCGACGTTCAGAGTGTTTGACGAGTAGGTACTGGACCCCGGCGGGGCCAGTTGTGGAGAAGGAGACATATTCTGGTTCTCAACTGAGCGATCCAAGGGATAAGGTTAAATAAATTTGCGATGGTCGTCCCTTTTGTCCCCTGCTTTGCAGCTGCCGTTCCACCTATCCTCAGCTCTTTCTATTTTCTTCGTGGTCCCAACGCCGCCGGGGCCCGCAGAGGAGATCTTTACAAGATCCCTCGCCCCGAGGAATGCACCATAAGCCAACCCAAGGAGTATGACGGTCGATACTTCGCAGGAACTGATGTAGCGGCAAATCTGGGCAGATAGCGGTGAGCTCTAAACGAGGGAAATGCCCAATCGCAGCGCAAATCAAAGTGTGAATTGTATAGATAGGTGGTTGAACTCTCCGCCTCCGTCAGTGAGAGGATCAAAAGGATGCGGATGTTTTGAATAGTGAATAGTCGCCACGGTATAAGAGCAAGGGATTAGGGACACTGCATGTATGTATGTTATATGTAGAAGTTGTTATGACAAGTGAGGATAGCCTCAGGGAAACCTGGAACCCAAACGGACTGCTGTTTCCGGCTTAGCGCGGCCAGCTCATAACCAGGACAACGGTACCGAGCTACGGGAAAGATCGCCGTAATTACGGTAAAATAACCGGGCAGATTGGCTTGCTGAGTCAGCAGGTTCGTAGGGTGGGTGGTCTTGTACAAATTTCGCTTTGATACAATAATATCTATCTATGGGCAGAATAATTTACTTAATTTATTTTGAACATCAAATAGGACACAGAGAGCTCATTATCTCTGTATGAATCCTTGTACCATATCATATTTTCTTGTCTATTTCGTTTTGCATTGTCATTTAACTACAGCCCAAGCCCTGTTCCAGCCCTCGTGCAAACTGGGCAAACTCCATGACTTTATCCATGGAATCTGCTGCAACATCCAACATCAACTAACAAGGGACGTGAACCTTGACTTCAAATCTCTACAGACGGCCCTGACCAGGCACCGTCATTCCGTGGAACACTTGTTACCTATATAAGCACCTTTCGCCATGTAGCAGCCCTCTGCTGCGCATTATTCAATAAAGCACAATCTCTTTGCTCCCACCATGCGAAGGTCGTGTATGAAGGACTAAACCCTCTCGGCCTCAATCTCCGTCCCTCTTCCGTCACAGAGCTGCAAATTAGGCGCCATGGGCCCTCAAGGCGAAATATTCATCAGGGCGCTATCACGGTAACTATATCCTCCATAAAATCCTGTAACTAGCGGAAGTAAAAAGGAGAGAGTATGAAGAACTATGCTGATATGATGCCCCATCCATCACACGACAGCCTCCTTGGTTGGATCTAGTATGTCTTCCATCCGGATCCCCACCGCGTGCAGCTGGCCAGCATCACTCCCTGGAACAAAGCCACTTTTAAAACCCAACCAGCAAGCAGAAAACCATACATAGCTAACATACATCCCCTCCTCTCAAGTACCTTCTGCTGGTCCGCCTCCTTCTACCCACAACCAATCTTAAACTACCGCCGACGGTCCACCCAAGGCCTCGCCATCGACTTCCCGACCGTAAACACCCTCGGCTTCATCTGCTACATGATCTACGCCTTCTCCTTCCTCTACTCCCCATTAATCCGCCAACAATACGCCGCCCGCCACCCCATCTCCCCAGAGCCCAGCGTGCGCTTCAATGACCTCGCTTTTGCTGTCCATGCCGTCATCCTCAGCTCGCTGGTCTTCAGCCAGTTCTGGCCGAGTATTTGGGGGTTTAAGGTATCCAAGTTCCAGCGGATAAGTAGGCCTATTGCGGGAGTGTTTTGGGGGTCTATTGTTGCTGTTACGCTATTGATTGTCTTTGTTGCGGCGCGGGGGACGGGGGCTAGTCTTGATCCCGCGGACTGGGCGTGGATTGACGTGGTACGTTCTCCTGTCTCCTTTCTTGTATATTTCCCCCCCCCCAGCTTTTAGTTATCATTTACCCCATTTCCCATCCTTACGATTGATATAACCGGTTCAGTAAGCCCACCAGAAAGGAAAATAAACTAACCAATGAAAACAATCATTTTAACAAAAGACCTACGCCCTCTCCTACGTAAAACTCATCGTAACAATCATAAAATACATCCCACAGGCATGGGTGAACTACAAACGCAAATCAACCGTCGGCTGGAGCATCTCAGCCATCCTGCTCGACTTCTCCGGCGGCATCCTCTCCGTCCTGCAGCTACTTATCGACTCCGCCCTCCAGGACGACTGGAGCGGCATTACAGGTAACCCCATCAAGCTGCTGCTGGGCAATGTTAGTATCTTCTTCGATATCATTTTTATGCTGCAGCATTATGTCCTTTATCGGGGGAAACGGGTGGTAAACAACGCCAGCTGCGGAGGGGATGGAGGTGAGGCTGGGGAGGGTGCGTTCGCGCCCTTGTTGGGTGATCGGGGCCGTGGGGATGGCGGCAGGTCGAGGCTCACGGTTGCACTGCCGTGATGGTAATGCATAATTTCAGTTCCAGGATACCTATTTACCCAGGGTTATCTTGTTTCTCGTCTCAGCATGATCAAAGCGCAATTTACGTCATCTCACGATTTATAACTAACTCACATGCGACACTAGAGGGCTACGCAATTTCATTTTACGCTACAATGTTCCTTTTTTTTCTTTTTCTTTTTTTTTTCGGTCTATCCCAAGCGTTACTTTTACCGCCGACAGCTGACGATAGCAGGATAATGTCCTGGTTTATATATGAAATATAGACATCCGTGGTACTTTAGATAATGGCATGAATGAACATAAACCTTAACTAACATACACGTACAATAGCCCGAAGAGCTATTTAGTTGAGTCATACTTATATTTCTCCCCATTCCTCATCCTTATCGTCATTTTCATCTCTTCATTAGCCCTCTTACCATAAAAAGTTGAAAACCACATAAAACCCAGCAAGGAAATTCACAGCATGAAACTTTTCTTGGGGGGGGGGTATTAACGCAATATCTAGATAATATATGTATATATATATATATATGTACGTATAATATATAATAATAATAGAAGTGAACTAAAAAGAAAACGAAAGAAAAATCGAAGACAAATATATAAACGAATAACAAGGGTCAAACACGCAACAAGGACAGGAATGTAAAGAAATGCAAAGCGTGAAAGCAGAGCAAGATATGCCCCTAGGCGCCAAAACGAAGGAACGAAGAATGATAAAAATCAGCAAGAGGGGGAATCAAGTCATGGCAAAATCAAAGGTCAAAGCAAGTTTAAGTTCCACTAAGCCATCATCTGCTCTGGTCTGTCCGGGGTGATCGTTTCTTGTGTAGCGGAAATAGAATTGAAAGAGTCGTTCGCGGCGTTGATAAAGGGTTTCGTCGGTGGCCGGAACGCAAGAGTAGGGTAAAATAAACAGTATAAAATGTTAAGTATATAAACGGACGTAACTTATGTGCCGCGAAAGGGGGAAATAAAAGAAAAACAAGAAAAATAGGAGAAAAAAAAGGATCAAGATGCCAACAACAAAAAAAGAGAAATAAAAGAAGTTAACAACAATATACGCCGTTTTGCGCCCCTCTTTCGCCCTCCATATGTGTAAAAATAAAATTATGAACAGCGAATGTAAAATATAAAAAGGGCATAAAAAGAAGAATAGAATATAAAAAATATATAACACGAACGAAAGAGAAGAAAGAAAGAAGGAGCAAATGAATTTTTGTATGCACGATACTTGCACCAGGAGGAAAAGTGGGGGATAAAAAATGAATGATAAATGCATGCTTATTGAGAGAGAACTTGGGTTGGAAGAAAAAGAAAAGAGTAAAAGTAAGGATATGTGGGATAGCTGAGAGATTTCCGTCATGACAAGAGTCGAATCAGCAATGAAGGGAAATGAATAAAGATTTTGGGGATAACACGTGTAATAAGAGTCGTCATAGATACGGTTAAAGAATCGTAACGAGAATGAACATATGGTCAAAGCACGAGCAAAAATTGCTCGAGAAATGCTACTGAACTCCGTTGCGGCGTCGTCTGCCCCGCATGCCGCCTTCCGGTCGCTGAGCAAGGACTCGTCTTAGTTCGGGGTCTTCGCGGTCTTTGTCTACATGGTGTACCCGGACATGTCTGTGAGTGATCAAATTAGCGCATTGTTTCCTTACTTTCCTTTTGGTTACTCTCTCTGCTCTCAGGATGTACAAGGGTTTGGAGATAAGTTAGGTTTACCTCTGTAAATTATCCGGGCGCGGATAGGTGTGTTGCTGATCTGGGCAGAATGGGCATACATAACCCGGCGAGTCGTGGACGAGGCCATGGCGTTTCATTTCATTTTTGCGCTTGAAGCCTTTCCCGCCTTCGCCGCGCGGACAGCCTTTTACCGGACAGTAGAATGGACGGTTTTGTGAGTGTACATTTGCGTGTGAACTGTGTTTTTAAGAGTTAGCAAGCCCTGCTTCCCGTTGTCCGTCGTCTCTGTCCCCCCCTCCCCCCCCCCGGGTCCCAAATTGTTCTAATTTAACGTAAAGCCTACTTCCAGAAATGTACGTACTTGAGAAGATATTGTGTTTGAAACGGTTCAGCTTTGCAATCAGGATAATTGCATTTAAAACCGGAAGAATTAAGCGGACCACTAGCTGGCGTGTGTCCGCTTGGATGAATGGGGGGGGAGTCATAGGCACCACCTTTCCCAAGCTCAATTGGTGTTGGATAGCCAGCGCTCGGACTACTGGTGAATTGTGAGCCGTGATCCCCTGGAGAGTGTGAATAAGACCGCCCCTTATCCGCTGTTTGTTGCCAATATGATGGCTGGGCCGGACAAGCCACTGGTGATAGACTAGCAGACATGTCCGTTGAACTTTCCGGAGAAAGAAACGATGGTGATGCTGATGTGAGAGGTGGCGGGATATACTGTTCAGAAAGGCGACGGGGTGGTGGTTCTTGAATATTTCGTGCTTGTGGGGGGAGTGGGTTTACTCCCGGTGAAAATATACGCGGAACCGCGTTTATTGAACCGAGATGACCATTCAATGCGTCTCCTATAGATGGGAGATTCTGACTGTTTTCAGGAGATTTGGCAGAGATAGATTCAGGTCGAGATTGTAATGCGGGGAGTGTTTCTCCCGCAGCGCAATCGGACGTGGATATCGTGTATTTTCTTAACGTAGGAGAAGTAGCCACTGCTTCTTTTACGCACACACGCGGCTGAGATTCCGGTATCGATATCGGTAGTTTTTTAAGCCGAGACCAGTTCGCAATATCTTTATCTATCGGGGAGGAAATCATGGGGCTCTGTAGATGTTGTGGAGAGGCCTGAGGCTCTAAAAAATATGGCGGCCGCGACGGTGCCCGCAACTCTTCGCCAAACGACCTCTCTACTTTCGCGCCTAGTTTCTGGGGCTCCCCTTGCATGTCATCATCCTGCAGAATTAAATTCAAGGCATGTTGGGCTGTTTGTCGCGCGCAGGAGGTATGAACATCTGACATCGAAGTATCCTGGGCATTTCCCGCCTCGTCCACATCACGGTAGTTATCGGGGCTACTAGATTCACGCGGCGAATCGGTTGGTAGAGGTTTCTGTCCAAGCTCATGGGCAAGTTGTGGGTCGGCTAAGGAGCTGAGAATTAGCACGTCGCGATATGCTGGTTGGATTTTCTTGCGACGTCGACGAGGATCCTTACGATCACGCCCCCCAGCACTTCGCTTGCCCGGTGAGTCCGGCTCTTTTAAGAAAGGCGGAGGGGTGACATGGGGTCTATAATCGATTTTTGTAGGTTGAAGGCGAGGAGAAGCATTGCATACATCATCAGAATCGTAAACGTCGTCCATCATCGTCATGGTGGTGATTTCCCCAGACACATTAGAAAATATTAGGCGTCCTTTCTATATATACTTGGGATATATCAGACGGAGATAGCCCTTCTCCGTCACAAGCCTTCCTTCACCTAGTCGAATTCCCGTGTTCGAATTTAGGCGCTTAGAGGCTGTACTATTCGAGTTGATTTCTCAAGCGCTTAGAGCATGTTTAACTGGATTGGTGAGACCAAGGTGAGGAACGATGACGGCGAATAACCAGTTATCTAGGACTGTGCTCCGGACAAACGTCAGTATAAGTCTCAAATAGAAAAAAAGAGTGACCAATACACCACCATATGGGTTGCACAGGGAGTAAAAAGCCATAGCAGAAATAGAAAAAAAGAAAGTCATGGCAGGATGTTAATGATACACGGGAAATAAGGGGGAGAATGTATATGAGTAAACAAATACACGGCTGGCAAGTGGTAGGTAGTGGTGGAATTCGGAGAGCTGTTGGAAGAACGACATGTGGGGGGAGGTTGACCGGGGCAATAATAAGAACTTTCAAGAAGTCGCAGATACAGCTGACATAGAGTGGACCAGGGCAGGCAGATTCGGGGAGGTAGCAAGAAAAGTGGAATGTACCGCTATATCATACCTCCGTCAAGAGGGTGGTGTATCGAGATGAGGAATATACAGAGAGTTTGATATAATATACCGTTCCAGGAGACAAGAGGATCACGGTGGAGGGTAGCCAAGCGTCAAGTGGCCATGCAGCGGTTGAACGATTCGCTCACTAGCATGACGATTTCCACTATGCTCTCCTACTAGGACCAAATAAAGCGTTTCAAGGAGGCTTGCATAGGATCCCGGAGGTGGCTGCGAAAGGGAGGAGACAGCTTGGGGTGTGAAGATAGATAGGCAGATAGATTCCGAAGGTAGAGCGGAGGTTCAGGGGGAGCCACAGCGAAGGAGATGGAGAGGTCCGGGAAAACGAGAAGAGAGGGAGGAGATCGAGTTACTAGGGGATCGAGGGGAACTGTTGGGAGCGTGGGAGTGTTGTGGCCGTTGCGTTGTGGTAGCGGTGGTGGTTGCTCGTATATTTTGTTTTCTCAGCGGCGGCCGAGGGTGCGGGAACCTCGCTGTCACTAGCGGGCGCACTCTAATGCAGAGCCTCACCTGTCGGCTGACTGCACCCGCTTTACCTGGGAATTATGATCAGGGTTCCTTGCTTATGGATGGGCCCAAGCATTGGCAAGCAAATCAAGTTCTTCAAAAAGGGCCTCGAGAGGACAGAAAAGAAAAAGAAAAGAAAAAGAAAAGAAAAGAAGCTTCAAAGTATAAAGAGGGATGTCTGTCCCTTCCGGTTCTTCAACGGTATGTCAACGGTTCGTCAACACCGGTATATCCTGGCTCTCTCCCCTATCTAACTTCTAAACTAGAAAAGACATGAGTCGCTTTCTCCAGCCTGCGGAGTACAGTCCAAATTGGGTCGTTATTCTGTCTAAAACCTCCTTGTCCCTATGAATAGTAGTGGGTGGTGGTGCCCTCAAAAGTTCAGCTCAACCGCCGCTTGGTTGCCAGCCACGCGGTGCAGCCATGCAATGCAAGATAAGAACAAAATTATATTAGAGGGATTGATGTGGCGCCAAACATCGTTGGCGAGACCCAATATATTTATTGTGTGAACATATCGATCTATGCTACGGAGTATGTTTACCTGCCTGCCACAAGCGACAGCAGACAGGACTCCAGGAAACGTCGGAACATCGTACAGGTATCCACCTCCGGATCCACTCCTATCCAGGCATTCGGAGCGTGGCCGGCTGAAAAGTGCGGCTGCTGTGCCAGGTGAGGTAGGCGAGTTCCTCGCTGCGTCCACTACTGGCCGGCCGCTGGTCTTGACAAGAAGGATAAGACCAAATCGCTTCTCTGAACACACATCCAAACGAACTTTCCAATTTCTCTGTCTACGAGAAAATAATGGCTCCCCGCCACCATCTTTATTCTCCGAATGATCATCTCCTACTAGCGATTTGGACTTATGGAGACCGGGGCGGAATAGTGTCCTCACTTTTGCTGTAGAATCAAGGCTTCGCGAACGCTGCGCCACCCCCCCTTCCTGCGGCTCATGCAACCGTCATAATTCAACAAAACCACTCTGTGTAAATAAAATATAAAACCATAGGAAAACCCCTTCCTCTCCTTTTCAAACTCTGGGCCAATCTTCCACGCCCTCCTCTGGAGTTCTCTGAGTAATCACCCAAACCTCCACCCCGTTATTATGATGAAAATGAAGAGCGGTGTTGATCACGGTGACCTGGCATTCCACGCTAAACGGGCAAATGTCTGATGTGGAATGGACATCGTTGTGTTGGGCTATCTTTGGTTTCATAATAATAATAATGGATCAATTATTCTACGCTAACCTTGCGGGATTTCCGCTACAGGGATGAGGTTCGGTCTGAAGGATTTCTCTTGTGGGTTGTGGCTCAGGAGTCAGGACCAAAAAATAAATAAGAAAAACAAATAGGAGACCCGAAACGAAGTTTCGAGGAATCATTCAGCAACACTCATGCGGGGCTTGTTTCAATGGATATGAATAATGCCCTGGGAAATCAGAAATATTCATAAAAAGCTAGTTTTCCATGTCTGGTTCGTGTTCGCTTCGACAATGTTTTGAAACAAATGTCATTTCGACATTTTTATGCTGTCTGTTTCTTCTCCAAGTCCCTCTCTTAAATCTAGCCTGACAATCTGTGCGTTTTAATCCTAACTACATGACTTGCCGTGGAAAACCAGCAATTTCATTGGGCTGCCAAAATACGGGGAAAAACCAAGCTTGTCAATGAAACCTTCTTTTTTCAATCAACGGTGTTTCCTGGGCGGCTTTGTAACGGGAACGTACCAACTTTAAGCAGCTTATTCCATTTTTTAACTAACTTTTTGTGAACTCTCTGGAGTTCCACTCAGGACTCACTTACCCTTCACAATAATGGCTCATTGTCAGCAAATGCTGAACTAGCTAACTATCGCCAGAAATCAAGAGATTGAGTGATGAATAATTTAGCCATAAGAGAACGAAAAAAAAATTGCTCAAACACAAGCCATATCTAACCAGGTGTTGTGATATGATGTCGTTCGTCTCGCGAAATTTTGTTAAGGACCGGTAGCACGCGAAAACACATAACTCCTCGAACGCAAGGAACATTGGAAATCCAATGGTTTGAGATTGCTTAATTTCTTCAAGCTCGAATGTTTGCAATTTACTACCGCTAGCTGGCGAAATGCTCAATATACACATAAAAGTCCAAAGTATATATCTGGTCAACTTGACACGTTTCAACTAGCACGGGCTTGTGATCGGGCAGAAGGATTGGGAATAAAATGGACGTATGCCGTCATTCCGATTGCGAGGCATGCCACCTCATCAGCCATCGCTGATCCGCATCGGATCCTCTCTTCTTCTTTGGGCGTCGGAGCGACGGATACGAGGAATACTGACACGGGCCATATCTGGCTAACGGACGGACATCATGCATCGATCCCGGACCTTCACGAACCATCATTATGATCATCATTAGCACAACAATCAAAAGCTTTATGGGTCCACGACCATGCATACGACCAGATTCCATCCGTTTCGCCCGTCGTTCATCGCCGGACAGGATCAGTGATCTAACAGGGGCGGGGAGGGTGAGAGGCGACGGAAGGGAAGGTTTGCCAAACTGGTCCCAACAGAAGTCGGAATACTCGAATACGGGCATGAGCCAATAGCTGTCAAAAGCGCACAAGCCATCCAGACCGATTTATGTCTGGACACGAGTGGGCCTGCATCCATTTTCTTTTTTCTTTTTTTTTCTCGTCCTCCCGCAGATGCGGCTGAGGGGTCACTCTCTCGTTTTGCAGCTGTGGATGTTGGCAGCCAGTGACTGTAAGCGGCGGAAAATTGCGTGTGGAGGGGCACATAGTGTTCATATTTCCTGAGGATTATTATTTTGTTCTATTTTATATATTTTTATGCTTGCTGGCAGGCTCCGGATGAGGTTTGCTGACTGCTTGCTTGGAGGGAGAATCTCGCTCGCCATGCGGCTGAGGTAGCTAGCTGATCGACGTGTGAGAGACTTTCTCAAGCTGCAAGGTATTTCCTGGCTTTTTCTGGAACACTGCTGTTTGTTCTGGAAGGATTTTCTGTTAGAAAGTCTCTAGCGGCTGAGTGAAGGCGACAGAAACGCAATGCATAAACCCGCTGCCCGAAATGCTAATGTCCGGAATCCGTCTTAATAATATTTCAGGATTCTTTCACGCTGTTTTGTTGACCTCGTGGCACAGCCATCGGCTCGATGACCTCCTTTTGAAAAGAAAACTAGAGCTGGAAAATAGGGAATATTGCCCGATCATTCACGGAGCCACTTGGAGGCTACTCCGTACTCATTAATTTGATAGCCAAGGCTAGAATCCATGACGAATCATAACCAAGCCGTTCAGTGCTGATGATGTGAAGTAGGTATATACTTAACTCCCCGTTCTCTGAAAAGAATGGAGGAGAAGTGATGATCCAATTGGCCTGGAATACTCCGTACTTAGTGTGACTGTATGCATCTGTTTTCTGAGATAGATAGTGATGTGCACGAATGAATGTTGACAATTACATATATACCTTTTGCCTGATTTTGAATGCAGACATGGAAAGCTTCTTAATGGGGATCGTTGTTGAAACTGTAATAATGATTAATTAACAGAGAAAAAGTATAATTGAGCACCAGTTCTAACTCCCCTATGGGTTCATTATTCCAATGGCCAATTCCAAATCAGATCGAAACATATGTGAGAAATGAGAGGTGATGCAATTTTCAGTGATTCGAGTCTCCATAATGTGGTGCGCGTTCACATCCATGGATCCCTCCCGTTTAACCCCCATCTCTCAATAGCTTCACCCTATGAGTCTATGACCACCAGCTCGATTTTTTTTTTTTTTTTTTTTTTTTTTTTTTTTTTTTTTTTTTTTTTGGGTGTCAAAGGAACCTCCCCTCCTCCCCTCCCCCCCCCCGCCCAAAAAAAAAAAAAAAAAAGAGAGAGAGAGAGAGAGAGAGAGAGAGAAATATACGATGATCAAAAGCTTCTCCCTTATCAACTTGAAGTGAACATTGTTGATTGATATCTTCCCTTCTCCCACTTTATTTCCGAACACTTCTTCAACCGTAGGCATGGGATGTTTAGGCTTTTGTACTCTTCTCTCGTGTAGCATTCTAAACGCTCCGAATCCCAGAGCAATTCGTCTTTCCCTTCTAAATGTTGTTGAGAGGCTAGCCGAAGAATAGAGGGTGAAGGGGGGATATGGATCAGGAACTTTATTGAAAAAATAATGGCGGGATGAAATGTTTCGACTCTACCAAAAATAGAAACAAAAAGGAAAAAGAGAAAAGAAAATAGAAAGAAAAGGAAAAGGAAAAGGACAAGAGGGAAAATTATAAAGAAAATAAAAGGAAATGCTAAAAACGTTGTCTATCGAAGCTAAATGCTGCTTAGCAAGGCGTTTTCTACAAGGACGAATCAACAAGGCTGACCAAGGCAAGCCATACTCAAACAGAAAAGAAAAAGAAAAGGACCGAATGACCAGGGAGTATTAGAGACAAAAAATGCACACACACATGCCTGCTCATTTGCACATCATTTCAAAAGTGTGCATGATGGGAGAGAATTGGACCAAGGCGGAACCAGGGGCGAGGGCGGGCGTTAAGCGTTAAGCATTAAGCGTTAAGCGTTTAGCTAAGGCCAATCTCAAAGCTTCTCAAAGCTTCGCCTTGCGCTCCGCATCCTCCTGCAATTTTCTCACTTTATCCCACGTGGCCAATGCAAAAGGCCTCATTTGCTCCGCATATTCGCTTGCCCGAGCGCTGCTCGCCTGTCTCAGTGCATACCGCGCCGCAATACCCTGCATGATCACCGAGCCCCTGAACCCGTGAAAAGCGTCACCCCATGTCATCTCCGCCCGGGGATCCCAACCTGCAGCCTCGCTATACCATCTCATCACATCATCGCGCGTCGGGAGGCCGGGTATAGAATCCGGAGAAAAGGAGGTATTTCCAGGCGCCCCGGCGACATGGGCGTAGGGCGAAACTAGGTTCGCGAGGTCCGAGAGCGGGTGGCCGATCGTGGCCATTTCCCAGTCTAGGACGCCAATGACGCGGTTCTCGGTCTTGTGGAAGACCATGTTGTCGATTTTGTAGTCGCCATGGACGAAAGTGGAGCGGTCGCGGGGATGGGTGGCCTTGTTGGAGAAGAAGCGGACCATGTCGTTGAAGTGCGGAATGTCGCCGACAGGGATCTTGGTGTCCACATCAACGGCCTGGGCTTGGGTTTTGGAGATGACGGAGAACGTGCTTATTTGACGGTCGTAGAAACCGCCGGCTCGCCCGAACTTTTCCATCCCGATTGATTTTGGGTCTACGCGGTGGAATTTGGCAAGAGTACGGGCAGCATCTTTCCATCTGTGGGTGTATGCCTTTCATGTTAGCCTATGATTACTTACACGATGTATGTGTGTGTATGCATGGAGTGGTGGCCGTACAATTCGGTTCGATCCCGGGGGCTTACTCCAGGCATAGCGGGGTCGGTAAACATCCGTCCGTCGAGGAACTCCATGATGTAGAACGCTGTGCCGATAACGCTGTCATCTTCGCAGAGACAGACGGTGCGGGGAACGGGTACGTCTGTCTGCTCGAGTGCGTGAATGATCTCGTACTCTCTCTCTACCCGGTGGGCTGTTTTCGAAAGCAGTTTTCCAGGTGGTTTTTTCCTCAAGACATGTTTTTGGCCATCGGCAGCTGTGATCAGGTAGGTTGGGTTGGATTGGCCGAATCCGAACTGGAAAACTCCAACAAAAGTCCGTATTAGCGAATATTCTTCTGTTTCTGCAAAATCGCAAGAGCGCATAGAATGATATTTCGTACCTGTTTCAAGTCCAAGGGTGTTTTTACAGCCGGGACATGTTGATTGAGATACTGCTCCAGGGAGGGAAGATCGATCGGTTGCCGCACAGCACCAGCCATCTTTGATCGAGGGGAGAAGTAGGAAGTGAGCAACACAGCTGTTGGGAGAATCTTTTTATTTATCAAGCCATACACTCTCAACCAGCTCCAGAGAAGTGCCCACCTATATAATGGAGAAGACAAGACCGGCGCTCCATCCCGATAGTTCGGCTGGCAATAAACCACTGCACTGCGGTTCCGTCGCAGCGCATCAACCGCGAGCCGAGGCTAACAAACGGGCGTTGAGAAGCGTGAGTGCCAAGCCTGGTCTTGCAGAGCTAAACCCAACAAGGCAAGTCGTTGTGATCGGGGTCTAACTCTGAGCGTAGATAGATACGATAGTTACTGCTGGGACATTCTCTTTTCACGCTCTCTATTTTTGTAGATCATTTCGCACGTCGTTTTATTTTGTTTGCGCTGCTATGTATATCCTTTTGATTTTACTCTCATCATTCAGCAGCTGTTTCACCGCTCAGCAGTTTTTCAATTAAATTGCCTAATGTTCGAAGCTGGAATCCTGGCTGCGTGGAATTGAGCCACATCATTTCATTATTGAAATTGAGTGGTAGGCTTGATTAACAGGAGTGAAGCGAGGATTGTCAGAAATGATAATACAGTTGCTTTTACTCAGCGCTCTTAACTTCTGACAGAGTACTCCGTACTCCGTAGTTGGCATCGACTTTACCTGCCACATATTTTGCGCCACAAAGAGGAAGACCGAGGGCTGATAATGGAGGCGATGGCTAGAAAGAACCAGTGCTGGGTGCAAAGAGAAAAAGATGAGTTGGGTGCCTGCTTGTGCGTTGCAATTTGACTGTATAAATAAACACTTGTTGTCTCTACGTAGTAAATGGAAGTTTACCTGTTTCATCATTAACTGCTCGACTCATTGTACGGAGTACTGCACATATTACAAGAGAAATAGCAATACTCAATAAATTGCTCAACAACAAACCGCCACGACACAGCCTTATACTAGCTCATTCTAACGCAATCAATAGCTACAAACATGAGGAGAGCTAATAATGCAGCAGCTATTATGTACGGAGTACTAACGTACGGAGTAATATAAAGAGAGAATATCCGAACTCATGATGACGCTAATGGCTGAGAGAAAGCCAACCTAGCCAGATACAGTTAGTGGGCTCTCGAGGGCGCTTTCCATGTGAATAACAGACGCGCGTGTATTTTCGCGACGTGACGCGGGTTCATCAATGAACGGTTGATTCGTTAACGATGCAGCCCGTTCTGAGGAGAGCCAGAACAACATTCTTCAATTTATACTTCAGATCTTTAACTCCCCTCCGCAATAACCACTCCCTTCCAGGGTCGAATATCAATTGGAGCAAACCAACGTTTTCCCGAAGCCCCAACCCCGAGGATCGCCATACCATGACCAAGGAGGCCACCCCTCCTCCCCCAGCAACCACTACCCGCCAGCCACCTTCTCTACCCAATTCCCCTATAGCCAAACGACCAAAGACAACAGCAACCATGGCCCCCGCAGCTGAATCGGCTGCTGCCCCAGCTCCAGCTCCATCAGAATCTACTACCACCCCCAGCGCAACCCCCGCCGTCACCTCGCTCTCTCAATCGAAGGCTCCCCCTCTCCTGGTCAAAAAGCTTGTTCCCACTGCCCGTGTTCCCACTCGAGGTTCAGCCTTTGCGGCAGGATATGATCTATACTGCGCGAAGCCAATTGTAATCCCAGCCAAAGGGAAGGACCTCGTCAATACCGGACTGGCAATTGCTGTTCCAGAGGGGACTTGTACGTGTCTTCTATCCCTATCTCCGAGTCCTGCGCGTGTATAGATTGGAATATGCGAAGCGATATGATAATGCAGCTTCGCCGCCAGTTAACTCTTCTACCTGCTTGAATATAGACGGGCGTATAGCACCTCGCAGCGGCCTCGCGTCGAAACATTTTATCGATACGGGCGCGGGTGTCATCGATGCGGATTACAGAGGCGAAGTCAAAGTTTTGCTGTTCAATTTCTCGGATACGGATTTTACAAGTATGCTTTTTTTTCGGGCACTTTTTTCCAGCTCCCCCTACCTACACTATATAACAAACATCCTTCTCGTTTCATTTATTTGCAAGATGAGGCTAACATCTGAAATTTGTGCAACATAACAGTCAACGAGGGCGATCGCATTGCCCAATTGGTTCTTGAACGGGTATGTAATCTCGCTTTTTCAAAACAAACAAACAAAATAAAATAAAATAAAATAAAAATTCAGGGCAGAAACATGGCTGGTGCTGACATTTCAATCTTCCAGATTTATACACCTGAGGTAGTAGAGGTGGAGCAGCTGGAAGAGAGTGTCCGTGGTGCCGGTGGCTTCGGAAGCACGGGATAAATAAACATACATTGTGCACTCGAATTTTTTTAGAAGGGGTTGAAGCGTGCATTTTCGTTAGAGGATAATATTTTATGTGACAATTGACTGATGGGTGTGCCTCGTTCCCGCTTCCGCGCGCATGTAGAGAAATATGGAAAATGAGATGGAACAATAGAACCAAGCGGGTGTTACCTGTATGTGACTTGACCCGGGCTAAATCTACCATGATATGTTGTTTCCAACAACTTGAGGGCCGTTTGTTTACTTTCGGAAGATGAAACGAATGAATGGAAGGATGACTGAATGTGAATGTTCGTGGGCTTGGATATCTGACGTTCCCATACAGGAAACCAAATATTGTTGAACTTTTATTTGATGGTAAGGATGAGTCAAACCAGCCTATTTAAGCCAGTTAGTTGCAAGCCAAATATTCATGGGTGAGGAGTAATTTCTTTTCTCTTGATATTTTTCTAAATAAAAATAGATATATTCAACCCGAGTCTATGATATAGCTTAAAATCCAAAAACGAGGGCATATATCCATGCAACTATCACTCTCAATCCACACCGCCGCCTACCCTGGTGCACATCTAGCTCACCAGAAACGAGTAAATCCAAAAATATAGCGAAATAAACCAAACCTCCCACGGAATCTATATATATACATCCTTATCCAACCACCCTCCCCAACCCGGTTGCTAACATCACACCTTCCATTCCTCCGCCACAAACTCTACTCCCCTAGGCTTCTTCAGCAACTCCGCATTTCTCACAAGTTGTATCTCCGCCGCCTTGGTCTGACGAAGATACGCCCTTTTCTCCCGTGCCTCCCGCCGCTCCGCTTCCGACAGCCCCGCAAACTCAACTGCATCTTGCAAACGAGTCACCTCGTCGTCGTCGGACGGGTAACGTGCCAACTCGGCACTCCTCGCCTCCATGGTCTTCTCGAGAATGCAGTGCATGCTTGCGAGGACCTTGACGGTGGACTGGGCGAGGGGCAGTTGGTTGGCGGGGACGAAGTCGGGAGATTGCCAGGATGGCGTGTTGCGGAGGAGGGGGAAGGATGGGGGAGAGGATGCGGATCGGAGCTGGGGCGGTGCTGCTGGTTGTTCCAGATTACTACTACTGGTAGAAGCAGTGGTGGTTCTACTCGCGGGGTTTGTGCTACCGCCAGCTTTCGCATCAGCCTCAGCGTCCGCGTCAGCTACAAATACGGCCTCGCGTAGCCGTGCGACACTCATTGCGGCAAACATGTCTCCCGTGCCGCAGAAGAAGCAGTCTAGACGGGGGACTTCGATTTTGAAGAGGCGCGGGCTCCCATCGGAGCGTGCGGTGGAGCCGATTATGGTTAGTGTGTCCTGTCGGGGGGAGTCTTGGTTGATGGTGCCGCTTTCTGCTTTTGTAGGGCAGGATATTGCTGAAGAATCAGATGAGGAGCTTGTTGGGAAGTGAACGGAGGTTACGATGATGTGTGGGACGTTGTATGTACGATGTAGGGTGGTGATGGCGTCCGCGAGGGTGGAGAGCGATGTTATTTGTATACCGGAGAGGAGTCTGGGGTGAGTAGGTTAGATTTGGGAGCGCTGATACGCATGTTCAACTTTGAAAGATGGGGGGGAATTATATATAAAAAGGGGGCCACATATGGACGTTTCGCAAAATGAACATGTCCCTACTTACTCTGCCTCGAATTGGTTTGGCAATATTAAATCAGCATGAGAAATGAGTTTCTTATACGCGGGCACCACATCCTCATTCACGTAGATCTGCCCTTGGTCACCCATTACCGGGTCGAGAACTAGTATGAATAATCCTGTTAAGTATTTCACCTTCAGAAGCACCAGATGTACCAGAACAAGCGATGTAGGAAATATATTCCATAAAAACGCACCCCAAAAGAATGATCCGGGTTTGTCACGGGATCCCCGCCGTAAATCAAGGGCTATTTCGCCAACAGCCTCTACAGCTGCTGCGCTAGGTGCATATCCAGACAGCAGGACATCGAAATCGGTCAGGTAGTTTAGCTTCAGGCCTTCGTAGAGAGCCGAGATCTCTTGTGCAGTAGATTTCGTGCCTTTCACATGTGTGTAGCCGGTATGATTACCTGTACATGTTTGAAAAACTGTGTCAGACAAAAAAAGGTGACTACGCGGTATCTCCTATAATGAATGTCGAAATGACAAATGTCCCAAGAAAGGGGACATGTATGCTGGGAACCCTCACTAAAATTGACGGTATTTATCGCTGCGACATCGCATCCTAAGGACTGCATGACGAACGTTGCCATCGTATTGCCGACGTATCTGCATGGAGGAATTAGGCTTGAAATCATGATACTTCAAAAAGGCACAAAGCTCGGCAGGCATGTGGGCTTTCGTCAATAATGTAGGATTGGGATACAGCCCAACGCGCATAGTTTCTTCTTTATTGCCATCAACTGAATAAGAAGCTGCAGAGCCCTCAAGTTTTGGCGGTATAGAACAGGGCAAATGAGCAAATCGAGTAGACAGTGGGCTTCACAGAAGAAACGGGGACGAATAAGCGCGATAAAGAAACAGATTCAAACGCACCCATACGTAACCTTTATGTATAGAAAGTCAGTCACTGTCAGTCATAAAGCAAAGGGGACATTTAGTGGATATGAGAATAGCTATATGTGTCATACATGGCTTGCTATGGCCAACACCCGAGTTTCGGGTACCAGCGAATCGGTCGACATCTGAAAATGCCGTGGCCTATGAAACCAGCCTGAAGGAGACGATACGTACAAGTGATAGAAGAGGAATAGATAGATAGATAGATGGGTAGATAGATAGATAATATACACAAAGTAAAATGTGTTGCTTTAAAAGGTCTACATATATCTGAAATTTTTTTGTGTAAGTTGGGATTTGATATCGGCGCTGTCCGGGTGTAACCAGGAAAACGGTTGCCGAGTTGTGGTTTGCATATGCGGGACAAGCTTATATACAAGCTTATATACTCCGTACCCTTCACTCTATTCTCACTACTCTTCTAAAAGTCATTCATTCCTAGGCATATCCACGATGTAACTGCCTCTGATATTCCACCATTACAGATATGGCAGCACCCCACTATAGGTTCGTTTCTGACTTTTCGTATTACTATATCTCCGGAACTTTCATCCACCAATCTACAAATTCTACTACCGAGCCACGATGCTCGCCCAGCACAGGATGATATTAGCAAGACCCCTATCATTTGCCATCAGAGGCTGAATAGCACAATTTGGAGCTACACCTGCTACATTTGAACTCTCAACTCCATAAAGACCTACACAATATACATGCTCTTGCCATTCGGCTGTGGGTTATTATCACGGATCAAATATTTTTGATATTCAGCCGGACCGGAGAAATGTCCATCCCGTGGATCCCCGACCAAACGCGCTTAGTCACCAGGACTTTTCTGGACTTTTCTTTAACTACCCCTCTACAAACACAATCGACGGCAGACAGATTTACAACCTCAATTGCTCTCTTACCTCTCTTTCGTGTTTTCCTACTACTCTTGGGTTCCGCTCATTAAATATATCTAAGCATTGAACCTCTCGACTGCCCGTTCCGTAGCGATCACGCTTTCCATGAAGCCATTATGGATCATATAGCCCCTATCACAGTCCTTATTTCAGGCAATGGGTCGAATTTCCAGGCCGTCATTGACGCAATTCAGGCTGGAGAGCTCCCCGCCAAAATAGTCCGCGTAATATCTAACCGGAGGGATGCTTACGGACTCGAACGGGCCAAAAACGCCAATATCCCCTCCCATTACCACAATCTCGTAAAGTACAAGAAACAGCACCCCGCAACAGAGGAAGGGATTAAACTGGCTCGTGAGGAATATGACAAAGAGCTGGCAAGATTGATTTCGGAAGATTCTCCCGAGCTCGTCGTGTGTCTGGGGTTTATGCATGTTCTTTCTCCCGCCTTCTTGGACCCGGTCAAGGGCGCAAATGTCAAAGTCATCAACCTGCATCCCGCCTTACCTGGCGAGTTTACTGGTGCCGTAAGTGTGGACTCTACGCCTATATGAGGATAACGTGTACTATCTAGCTGTTTCAAATCATCTGAAATATATATATGCTAACCAACGGTTAACTTGGTTGATAGAATGCCATTGAACGCGCCCACGCCGCCTGGCTAGATGGAAAGATCGACCGGACTGGAGTTATGATCCACGACGTAATAGCAGAGGTAGACCTGGGACGCCCCATTCTGGTCAAAGAGATTCCTTTTATCAAAGGAGTCGATGAGGATATAAATGCCCTCAAGCGGAGGATCCACGAGGTGGAGTGGAAAGTCGTTGTCGAAGGCGTGGGAATCGCAATCCGACAACTCCATCCCACCGGGGATCCTTCACCTCCAGAAAACAGAGAGGGCAACCATGGCTCACGAGGGTGAATTCAAATAAAGTACTTGGTAGATTTTGTTATCTAAAGGTTAATTTCATGACTACCCCGTCCCGTCTCTGGCGCGCTTCCGGTGGGAATGGGAATGAAGATAAGGGAATATTATATTGAGCGGAGGTTCGAAAACACTCTCACAAGACGAAATTATGAACATTTTTGGATCCCGGGCATTAACATGTGCTTGCGATTGGCGGCACGTTCACAGAATTGACCGACGACAGATCATTTGCTCCACTTTGGTCTCTCCTCCCAGGGGACCAGGTTAGCATTTTGGGCAGCGTTTGGAATTGGTACCTGCTGGTGGAAATAATACCTCTCTATATCTGAGCCCGACTGGATTGTAATGGGAACAGGAACAAGCAAGGAGAAGAAGTCAAAATCTGCGTGAAAGCAGAGATAGACTCATAATTATTTTCCGTGTCGAATACTATTTGATCAGTGGGTGAATATGTACCAACAGCATAATCATAGAGCGTTGATACGATATCATATCTTCCGTGGTTCCTGGGACTGCCAGGTTAATTTTTTGTTCATCTTCTAGTCGCCATTCCTAGAATCGCGCGAAGATGTCTCTGATGGAGAACTATAATCTCCAGGTTGTTCTCCGTCTATGGAATATTGTCTTTATAAGGAGGAAATGCGGTGAACGGGTGCATATTTGGTCGGATCTGGTCAACTCACCACACCCTCATTTTTCTATGATACCAAATGACTGTTCCACAGGCCTCGTGCGCGCAAAATGCAATCACAGAGGGAATAATGACATAGAAGGACATAATAATGTTTTAGATGGTTAAACCGTTTGTTTTGTATATTAGATTGGGTGGGATAGGCCTTGCTCCTCACCCTGGTCTGCCCGTAACGGAAATGGAGAGTACACCGAGCTCCCGGTGGAAAGTTGCTTGGCTGCATGGCCACGGAGTGCATGTTGTACAGTACCTGCGCATGGATGTATGATTTATGTATAAATGCAGGCGGTATACATATGGCTCTTGGGGCTGTGAAATTGGTGGGGAAGCGAGGCGCTAATGCCACGGGTACAGGCGCATCATGGAAGTGTGATTTGTTTTTGAAAGATGCAGCGACGAAAAGGAGCGGAGATTGTCGAAACCAGGGAGGGAGGGAGAGAGAGAGAGAGAGAGAGAGAGCACGATGCACATAGCTAGTCTCGCACATGCGCCTCGGAGCATCTGATATCGACGCTCGATTTGCCTCCCCTGTCTGCCCGTAGATGGAGGCCGAGACGATATGTTGGGGTGCAGGGCGGATTCTGCCCAGCGCTTATTGAGTCCTGATGAGGGCATTGAGGATAGAAAGGATTAATAGATCCATGGATGTGTGCGATGTCTGGACCTAGGTAGGCAGCCCTCAGCATGTGTAAATATAATTAATGCCTTGGAGTACATATGTACCCCAGCAACGGCTTGAAGTTGTTGATGTCGACAATTAATAATAATGGTGGAACCTTGGAATGGTTGCACTGCCAAAAAACCAGCCCAGCCATTCGCAGCTCAACCCTTGCAACAACATCCCCTTGGAACAGTGAATAGTTTGATTCTCAACCATCCCTCGAGTCTTATAGGGAGATGAATCGCAAATATCCACAGAGGGACTCTGTGCTGGCGTTCCAATAGCGTGCGGATACAGCTGGCGCTCTGCACGAAATCCTTCCAACCAGTGATGGGTTCCTCCGAACCTCCACTTAGTAACTGAAGAACTTTCCTCTCTCGCTTTGGCCAGCCTCCCTAAATATGTAACTACCTGGATGATGATGGATAACTGAAGGCTGACGGTCTCCTCTCCGAATCCTGATGGCCAAGACATAGGGGACGGACGTGGACACTATTGGCCTAAGTGCGCCATAGAATCATTTCGCGTAACAAGCCACAAATCACCCCTTGCGGCAAGTCTATGTCCAAGGGCCTTTGAATAAGGCTCAAAAAATAATCATCCAGCGCACAATGCTAATTAAGCATGTGTACACTTCCTTGTGGTTCTGTGAGTGCTCGGAGGAGTGAAACCCAGCTTACTCTGCACAAACTACGGAGTATGCATTTCGCAGCGGCTTGGATCATGGATCCTTCCAGCGCCATGTGTATACATGTACTCTAGTTAACTACAGAGTACGGAGTAGCTGTACTCTGGATTTGAACCACGAATAACTACAAAACTACACCAGAATTCTTGAGCTTGTCGGGTTGGGACTCTGAGCTTTCTCACATCATCTCAAGCCCAGAAATACCCGATGTAATCTTCAAATTCGATCAAGGGTCTGGTCTCCCTCTCCCATAAGCCTAAATTTTGCCCAGCGCCGGACGACCAAGGATTGTTTAATAATAGACACATCATCCAACGTGATAGTTAACTAGTCCAATCGCAAACCCTAAAAGACACAGGGGGGGATGGATCCAGGTTCCAACTAACCACTCACTCTGCAACTGGGCAGTAGTGGCCATGGCCATGGAGCAATCTGTCGAAGAATCTGTCCATGCACATGGAGATTCGCCCTTATGATGGGATGGATCCCTGGGGTCAGTCGCTTGGCTTGCGGCTGAGTTGGGCTCTCGACCTGCTGAGGCTATTCATCTCCAGATCTATTATAATATTAACTAACAGTTGCCTTTGACATCGCACTTTAGCACCCACCGAGTTCCAGACCATCACAGGCCCCCGCCGTTTAATTGCTCTTGCTGGGCGTTGACGTTTAACCGCTGCCAAACAAAAATCCCTCCGACGTTTCTTTATCAAACGCCGTGGGGCCTCTTTGTTTTGTTCTCTCCGTGCGCTGCAAGGCCGACAAGTCAAGACCCTCAACCTGGCCCACGCTCAATTCTTCTTGTTCCTTTCTTGGGGCCGCTCACAGCAGGAGACACCACGGATGTCTGCGTTTTCCTTTCGCGGGCTCAACTCACAGATGTGATGCAAGTCAATCTCCTCTCGTGCTGTTGATTTGAAGCCCGTTCTACTTCGCGCCACCACCACATTCATTGAAATTCCCACTCTTTATATCCTGCATGAATGCTCTCTCCATATGCGCGGTTGACATCTCAATCCATCTAGCCTTGAAGAGCATTCCCACAATCGTGGTTTTTTGAATTATCTTTCTCCACCTTGTTTATGTCTTTGCTGCGGCGACGGCAGAGACTCAGACCTAGCTGGCGGTGTCCAATGCGAGCATCAACGCTTGCTTCTACTTGTACTCTCTCAATGTCACTTTGGACCTGTTTTCTGCTGGTCTTCCTGTGGTTGCCCTTAGCATCGGCCACGCTACCAGCTGCTCCAGCCGTTGCTGCCCTTCCTAGCGTTATTAGTCGGATCCATTATTTGTTGATCGCAAATAACAACCCTGGAGGTGATCTAGGGAAGATCGTCGTCGATCCACATTCGCCATCCCTCCTGGCACAAGCACACGTAGATGTTCCTCTACAACGACGAAGCTCAGTTGCAGATAGAGCAGTGGATGAAAGCAATGACAAGGACGACAAGACAACTTCAACGACCACCACTAATTATCCGATAAAAACGAAAACTCCATCCCCTTCATCGGAGACGACCGGAGACTCTTCTTCAACTTCTTCCCCCTCAGGAGCGGCGACTTCCAAACCAACCGAAATAGGCTCACCTACTGAGAAGACTAAATCCCCAACCCCAACCGAATCGGATAATAAACCTCTCCCAAGCCCCTTCGACAGTAACCTAGGATCTAATTTTACAAACCCCGCCTGCGAAGGCTTTTTCCACAGCTTCCTCGGCAACACTTCCTTCCAGGACTGTCTCCCCGTTTCCCTCCTCCTCCAATCATCGCTCTCGTTCTTCGAAGCCTCGCGCTCCGTCGTCCGCCTTACCCGCACCCTCGATGCCGCCTGCTCCATACCCCGGGACTCCTGCAGTGCGCTCATGAGCGACCTAGCCACCAAGCTCACCTCCAAGGAGAACTGCGGCGACGACCTCAAACGTGAGCAACCGATCGTCATCCAGGCACACAACGGCCTCCGTTCCTATGGAACAGTCCGTTACGCTACATGCCTTAAAAACCCAGACACGGACAATTACTGCTTCTCCGACTCCATTTCCAACGCCACTAATCCGTCCAATGCGTTTATCTACTATCTGCCCCTGGGTATGCCATTACCCGGGTCCAGCCGGCCAACCTGCAACAAGTGTCTGCAGGCGACAATGCAATCCTTCTCGAACGCGGCGACGACCGATAATCAACCCATCTCTAGGACCTATCTCTCGGCCGCCAATCAGATTAATATTGAATGCGGACCGTCATTCGTGGTCGCGGCTGTGAAGCTTGGGTCGGAGAATGGTGCCAGTGCGACCACGCGGCTGATGCAGGGGTCTTCGTTGTTTGGGTTCAATTTGATAGGGGGGATGGCTTATATACTGCTCTTCTGTGTTGGGATGCCGCTTCTTGGTAATATTCTATGATAATGTGACTTTGTTATTTTTCTTCTTCTTCTTCTTCTTCTCATATTTGTATAGTTCAATATTTGAACTTTTCAATTCTAATTTTATACACATTCTTTTCCCCAACTACTTGGGACATGACTGCATTGCTATTGGGTGCTATTGAGGGATAACTTGCTTTTTCCATTGTATATATTTAAATTTACCATTGTTCCAGGGAGATTTTATTAGTATTACTTACACCCCCCACATTCCACATCTTTTGCAATATATATTCTAGAGGCCGCCCACCCCAACAACCTGATGTGATCCAATATAGAGACCCACCTCCCTTTCGCCATATCTCCTGGATCAAGATGCTCTCTTTACGGAATAATCGGAGAACGGTGAGTGGGCCGCGAGCTCCATTAATGGATCCCTGCTTAAATACATGGCTTGCTGTCAACGGTTACACCGCACCCACCATATATGTATTCATATTGTCGAGCACAACATGCCTGCCGCCGAAATCGCATGTTACTATTATTCAATATGTAATGTTATCTCCCCCTTGTGCATCCATTCTACATTCACGCAGCAGTTACTTCCCCCCCAAAACTCTTCGTTGTGTACATGTATATGTAATCACTAGTAGGGAGGTAGGGTAGAAGAAAAGGGGAAGGGTTGGTGTCGTTGTCCTCGGCCTGTTCTGCGGGGGCGATATGCACTGCACACAGCGATTAAATTTACCGCATAGCGCGCGACGTAGTCATCTTCCGAATATAGCTATAACCTCTCAATCTCCGGCTCCTGCTTCTTTTCTCGCATCATATTATAAACGAAACAAGCCCCCGGGCATATTAAAATTTCAGTAAACCCTCCCTTTTGTGTCAAAACAGAAGAAGGTAGTGCAAATTGGTACATAAGTCAAAGGGGGAAGCTGTCTGTCTGGAGTCTTCCTTCAACTCTCCAACTAAAACATCATATATATATGTATTAATTGTATTACAAACTCCAAGCTTCAAAATTCACCTACCAATTCACTCACTCCCCCCACACCACGTACCTATCAACTGGTACCTCTTAGCGCTTGAAGGCTTTTAGGGGGGAGGCAAGAGTGCCATCCAATATATTCTCGAAAATTCCCTCCACCAAAAGCCTGAAGAGACTCAGTATATATCACAACCACTTTTTACCTCTCCCCCCCAAAGCGCCAGACAGCTGCTGACTACGCGGGAACGTATGATGCAAACGTTTTGTAGCTCGGAACTCTTTCAATGTAGAAGCAGATCTGACACGTTTCTCGAAGTACACATGAATTCGAGAGCTGGATGAGTTAACGCTAATTGGCGTCGAAAGTGATGATGATGGTGATGGTGAACCGGATATAAAAACGGCGCCCACACATCGACGTCGTACCTGACACCGTTTTCCAAGGTATAAGGGTGACACACACCGGCAAAATCCCAAGGAGGAAAGGAGGCTGGAGATGGCGCGGAATAAATTCGACTGGCGTGTGGGGGCGCTCGTATTTGGCGTTAGATTTCACTCATAGATTGTTGAAGCAGAACAGATGTTCGACCTGCTGCTGGCCCGACCAAATGGTGAAAGAAATTAAATCGCCAAAAACTCGCGCTTCGCAGATGGGGGGACTTGAGTAGCCCTGAGAAATATACTCCGTAAACTCTAGCAAATTTAATGTCGAAGACGCCAATGACACAAGTTCAATGCCAACGAATATAGGGATATAAAATTTACAAATGATTTGCTTTGAGTGTTCTCACCTTCGAAAATGATGTGAGGAAAAACTTCAACAAATGCAGTGGGCAAGTCTTTTGGCTGGAATATTATTGTATAGTCGAGTACGCACATCAGCTCATCCATTATAGACACTGACTGAGCCTGGGCGCACTTGGAGTATACGCAGCTTCAGACAGCGTATTATCACGTCCCACTTGGAGTCATAAGAGACTAGATGAATACTGGGCCCTGGTCATCCCTCTGCAAGCGTTCTCTTTTGCTAATAGGGGTAGTCTGCGCGAATGTTCCAATGAGGTTGAGATCATGTAACCGCAGGCTTCGCTGTGCCACGTATATTGTTGTAGAAAGCCTAAGATGGTCAAGATAAACAGAGGCAAATCGGCGCAATCAAGCGCGCTTGATTGTTTTTCTCGATATCGATCGTACCGTGCCGCATTCAGAGTTGAACTTGAGAAACAATGAAGATGAAAATAACAGAATCTTCCAATATTGTTTATTACCAGAGACAGAGAATCTGTTAATGAATATATGAATGGATTTTCAGCAGTTAAGAGATGTGGAAGAAGAATCCAGAGCTGCTTGTGCTTGCTTCTACATGTGTAGTTAACAGTAGCTGCCTGTGCAGAAAGAAGGTGTAGCCTATAACATGTCCCCCTTGCAGTATGCCCTAAGATCAAAGGTTGTTATTTCAAACATTTTATCCGCAAATCGAAACATGGGTGGGGCCAATAAACAAAAATACAAATCGCAACATTCAATTGGATGATCGAATAGACGAATAGATGCATGGGAACTGGAATAACATTGGTTCTTAAGGTTTATGTATGGTAGATGCGAAATAGGAGGGTCATGGCTAATTGCTGTATATATATGGATTATATATATATGAACATTAGATAGCATGGAGTGAGGGTGTGGCAGGATTATCATGTTGAACTCAAAGGGCAAGATGTAGTTGTCATTACAAGCAACAGAAAAAAAATATTGGACATTAGCAGGGAAGGATTATAGAAGAGTGAAATAAAAAAGGAGACTGAGATGGTATGTGGAGCGCTAATCAACAAGGGCATTCATGGAATAAAAGTGCATGTTTCATACGCAGCTTGTATCGGAGTAACAGTAAGTATGGGTATGTGGACACTTTGTCCTAACAATAAGAGAAAAAAACATGTCTAGCTTCTCCTGGCCCATCCCGACCCGGACGAATCGTTCTGTAGATCTCCATTGGGGCTGCCTTTTTCTGACTCTTTCTCTCTTTTTAATCTAAAATAAGCAAGTTTTGTGAACCGGCTTAGCTGTGTCCAAAAATGACGGCCGGCTTCGTGCGCAGAAATACGGTCTAAAAGGCTGATAACAGCTTCTCGTACAGTAGGATTGGGGTGGAAAAGGCCCATGGAGATGTAAAACAGGCCTGCCTGACTTTCCGGCGTTACAGTCAGAAGCTGGCATATGGAATTATAGTCTTGACAAACCTGGGAGAGGGCAAGATAAATCTGTGCTGAATCGGCGTGGCTTAGTTTAAGGGACCGCAGCCTATCATGATGATGATGAATGTCGATGGATTGAACAGGCCTCCCCGTCAGATAGAGTGCTGCAGTATCCTGGATGAAGTAGTAATATGAACGAGTGTTCCTCCAGCCTTCGATTCGAGATACCCAGGCAGTCAGCTCACGCTGTTTGGTAACATCGTCGGGCCATACATAGCCATGCCCGCGCAGAGATTCGTAAGTCCCAAGCTGGCCACCTGGTCGACCGTCCACGGAACCCTCCCCAGGGGCCATGACATAAAGTGCGGTTGCCCCGTATACGGTTTGCTCAAAAGTGGCAGAAATCCGGGTAAATTTAGTGATATAAGCCCGCCACTTTGCGCGGATTGCTCCTTCTCCGTGTCGCGATGCAACACTTCGAAGGATGTCATCCATAAAAAGCGAATCGCCAGTTAGGTCACTTAGCGAAGACGCGGAATTGAGTACTGATGGCTGCGGGGTTAAATTTTGCTGTTGGAAATATAGAGACCCTTCTGTAACCGGAGCTGGTTCAATACGACTGCTTATCTTCATACGGCCACTCGGGAGATCGCATAGAAGATCCCACCACTCGTGATGGTTGGCAAAAGCTGGGTTGGTCACACCGGCCACAAATCCGGGGACTTTCAAGAGTTCATCGATTTTAGTCAGATCGGTGTAAGGGAACGCATGCCGCGTAAAACCGCGGAGAATGCCTCCCGATGCCAAAGAACATGCGGCAAGAACAGCTTCAGCAACCTCTCCAGACGGCCGATTGTGACCCAAAAATATAACGCGTTTTTGAGTAAGCAAAGCATTGACCAAGACAATAATAGGATGCGTGTATGCCCCACTGCTGGTAAGGTGAGGGTGCAACCCAAACGGCTGAGGTGAACTGGCGTGGGGAGCAGAAAATATCTGTATGAGTTTTATGAGAGAGAAGTCGCCGACAGTTTCCGGCGAAATAGCTGATGGAACTTTGACTGGGATTGCAATATCGTTATAAATAATTTTGGACTCAAATTCATGGGTATCTCTGGGCAGGGTGTATTTCGGAGACGGAGAGGAGTGCTTTTGGGGGGATCCCTCGCTGTCATGAAGGAACCGTTCATCCTCCAATCTTTGCTTAATCATCTGCTCGAATTTCTCAATGAACATATCCTTCGAGTCACTAGCCTGTAGGATATGCCGTTCAAGGTAGGTAAATCTGGGTAACAATGAAAGATCCATTGCATTTAGCGAGTTATACAAGGCGGCCAGTGTTTCTGGGAAGGGGGATTTAAAATAATCTTCCAATGCTAGTAGGAGTAAAGGCTATATGGACCAATTAATAAGCTAGGAAAGATCAGCGGAAAGTGGTGTGTTGCATTGTATCACAAACCTTATAGATATGAAGAAAAGAATGCCGTGTACATATGGCCATAGCTTTAACAACAGCTCCCCTAGAACGGTATCAGAATCACATATAATGAACTAAAGATAGATGGAGCCATATCACGTACCGTTTTACTGATGTATCTTGTTTCGTGTTGACAAGATTTAATACATACATAAGCGGTGGGCCTTCCCCATTCTCGTCGTCCTCTTCATCTTCATCAACCACAGATGCCTCAGAACTGTCGTCGTTCAGACCCTCATTTTCTTGACTAATATTATTATATTCGGTCTGTTGGCCTGCAGTGGGTTCCACATATTCATTCTCTTCCTCCGACCCAGCATCCTTGTGAAGGAAAAATATGGTCCAATCTTGACTGCGAACATGTGTTTGATCTGGCAACATGAGTTCCGCTAACATGTGTTCATCTCCGCTGATCGCACTGGGATATTGATGCTCCATAATGGGGCCACGGTCGACATGGAAGGAGGCGACAAGTATATACTCGACGTGTAGCTCTGGAGAGTCTAGAGGGTACTGGGATTTTAGTCTGCGTTGCTTCGCCTGGAAGCTGGTATACGATTTGGTAGATAGCGGGCGGGAGGACGAGAATGAGCTGTTTGGGGATCGTCGACGCAGAGAAGTCTGCGAAGAGAGTTTTCGAGGGACATTGCCAGAGGATTGGCTTGAGGAAGCAGCGGACGTTGGGATAGACGCAAAGGAAGTCCGTCTCTCACGAGACGAGCCGTTTGTACCAGGGCGATGGGAGATAGCACTCATGATTGGAATGAATAGAGAAGAGTATAGCGCCGTCCAGTGGGGAGGGCAGTCGCATATTTATTCACGTCTTGACGATGCATGAGGGTTTAAAATAATGGCTTCGCGATCACGTTAGCGGGTATTTATTTAACGTAAATATTATGACGGGAAGTGCCTGGGGTTTAGAAGAAACGTTCAGGGGCAGCTGGGCAAAAGTTAATAACGCACCACCGTTTCTATCCACTTGAAGAACAATTCGATCAAACCATGGCTCTGCAAACGCTATAATTGATAAAACGAAATACAGAGAGAAGGTCGTACTCCATGATCCAGCAGAATTCCATGAGCCACCAGGAGGAGAGGAATAAGCCGCGAGTCTGACTTCTCTCCTGGACTTTTCGCTATGTTCCGCAGAGTGCACGTGCCATCAAGCCTTACCTGAGTACCCGGGACCGGATTATCTGTATCCGGGTGCGGGGGAAATGGAGGATAAACTTTAATCCGAGTGTTTACTTCTTTCCGGTTTTGGATGGCTTTGGCAGGCAAGGGATGGCAACGGCAGCTACAACCCAATATTCGATATTAAAAGACTTAACAAGTTTTGGTTGACAAACATAGAGAAGGATTGAATTTGAATACTATAATACTACAATACTATATCTGAATGTCCTAGTTCGAAGAACATAGTCATCATCATCATCATCAATCATGGTATGTTACCCGCTTAGTTAGTTCGTCCTGCTTTTTCCCTCTCCGCTAAATGCCATCTCTCTACATCCTAGGTCACACCTAACACAACCCCCTACAAACCCTCCCCTCTTTCCTTCGGCTCTCCTCGTACTTCTCCCTTTCGGCGTCCCTCCGTTGCTGCTCCTAACACGGGCATTCGTCCCAATACACCGGGAAGCCCTGGCAGCAAAGGGCCAACAACGCCTGTCCAGTCCCCGAGCAAACTAAAGCAGTCGCACATTGCAGAGGATGGATCCGTCTTCTCAGATAGTCAGATATCACCTTTAGATTCAGTGCGCAGAGAAATCACATCGTCACCAACTAGGGCATCCCACAGACAAAATGAGAGCACATCTTCAATGATGGGATCGAAGTTGCCAGAGAGATCAGTTGCGAACGGTGACACACTGAGCAGATTACCACAAGCCCAACTACGTGAAATGAGAGAGGCGTTTCAAGTTCTAGATCGCGATAACGACGGGAAGGTCAATAGAGAGGATGTTGCTGATATTCTACTGAACTTAGGTAGTAATTACCTTACCACATTATTTATCCAGCCCCGTGTTTTATTAATGCCGTCCATGAGCATTTCTCACATAAAGTGTTTCTTGATGTTTAGGACAAGACTCCTCCTCCGCAGCTACTTCTCTCTATTTTCCTTCCGGAGGGCCACAGACGCTTAATCTACACACGTATCTAAACTCGATTGCGAACCTGCTCGCCCCTCTTTCGTCTCCACAGGAACTCCTCAACGCCTTCGCGGCTTTTGACGAAGATGACAGCGGCCAGATAGATATGGATGAGCTTCGCGATGCCCTCCTTAATACAAGCCCCGACGCAGACGAGATTCCCCTGACAGAAAGAGAAGTCAGAGAAGTAGTTAATGGTTTTACGGGAAGACGGGCGTTTGGAGCGAAAGGAGCAAAACCAGGAGGTTTTGGAGGAGCAGGAAAAAGATCGGAGGTATTTCGTTATCAGGAATTCGTTGAGAGTCTGACTGGCGGTACAGCAATTGCGAGTGGTGTTGGACAGGGGCACGACAACAAAAGGGACAATGAATAATGCCTGACAACATATTATGTACGAAATACCATTTCATGTCATACTTGGATGTGCATAGGCGAATTGGTGTATTTGGGTTGATCGAGTTTCATCATTGTTGTTTGGTTCCTACGCTTTAGGGATTGGACCATATTTTCAGGGTCTTAAGCCCCACTCTATTGTTTGAGAAATAAATAATTGGATGCATGTCTTATCGAAATCTACTCTGTACAGAGCAGAGTAACCATTGCTACATGAACACAGCATATCCAGGCACAGACGATACAGTTTCTCCTTCCCATGGGTAATTCGGTAGGTAGCAACGTAACGATCCCTAACCTTGCTACATCGCGTCGCGTGTATTATTTAAGCACGGCGCCAAGACAAGCGCCAACCACCGATTTTGGCGCCGATTTGAAGTTCCCCACAGCAGCATCGATCAACCAACAACATCAACGCCAGCGATTTTGCCAGGATGAAGGCTGGACAACGAAGCTGCCACGATATACTCCGTACAGCCATTGCAACCGGTGCACTTACAACAACGATAACCACCTCTCCCTTTTAATCAACGCCCACTTTCACCCAGGAACCATGACTTGGCCCGGTTCCTCTCTATTCTGGCATCACTGATTCCATTACTATTCTCGCCGCACTCGCCTCCAGCAAGAATGAGCCCAAAAGGGTTTTCTCAGTTCCAGTTCCCGCCACCTTCGGGTGCTCCACCATCATCCCAGACCACTCGAACCCTCCGTAGATACCAATCGCACCAAAGTCTCTCATCGCATTCCCCAACTTTCCCACCTCAACCCCGCCCACCCCTCCACCGCAATACCGCCAGCCACCGGGAGCGTACAGAAGAAAATGCGGCCTCCCAAAATATGCAACCACATGTGCCAATGACACGTACTCGAGCTCGAACTCGATCGAATAGCGATGTCACCGCTAATAGCCTCGCCGCTTTCCAGCAACAACATCAGCAGTACCACGACCACGAGCATCACCAACCCCAGCCTCATAAGCGACCTACTGGTGGAAGAAAGTCAGGGTCATTGGGACTCCAAGGGAAGCGGTCTGGTTTGGATGCTTTGCTACGGGAAGGCCCGCCGGAAGACAGCATTGCAAGTGGTTTACAGGACCTAAGATATCTTGTTCTGTCCAATAGGGTTGATTCTGACAGCGATGGAATGGTATGATATTTTCATGTCATTTGAAACACTCAATCATGTAGCTCACTAGTTGACCTCATTGCCTCAGTCCCCGAATCGCATTTACCTTTGGCTAGCCCTTCTTAACGTTGCACCTCTGCCAACGGATGAATATCTTTCGCTTGTCCATCGAGGACGTTCTCCGGCATATACAAAAATCCGCAATGATACTTTCCGCACTTTAGCTACAGACCCTCTTTTCAAGCGCCGTGTCACAGAGGCGAGTTTGATTCGCCTGCTCAATGCCGTTGCCTGGAAAATCCACGACTCGAAAGAAGAAACCGCAAAACTCTCTTCCTTATACCAACAATCATGTCATCCCAGAAACCCCTCACCAGAGCCCTCGCCGTCCACAACAGACGGTTTCTCCTCCGCCCCTTGTAACACCCCTTCTACAACTTCACATGCAACCTCTGAATCCGCAATCTACGTACAAGGAATGAATGTCCTCTGCGCCCCATTTTTATACGCTTCCAGGAGTGAAGTAGAAGCATTTGCTCTTTTTCATTATTTTGTCACCCGAGAATGTCCTGGGTATGTTAGAGGCACTATGGACGGGGTACATAAAGGACTTAAGCTTGTGGATAGATGTTTGGAGGTCGTCGAACCCAAACTAGCAAACCACCTGTTTAGGAAGGGAATGTATGCTGAATTGTATGCATTCCCCTCTGTTCTCACGCTATGTGCCTGCACTCCGCCGCTGCCTGAGGTCTTGCACCTCTGGGATTTCCTTTTCGCTTACGGACCGCATCTAAATATTCTGTGCATTGTTGCTCAGCTAATTAGGTTGCGGGATACAATTTTGGCAAGTCCAAGGTATGTCTGGGGATCCAGCGAACCAAAATTTCTGGATTGATTACTTGTTATCTCCCCTTCCCTTTAACTATATACATGTTTCATTTGCTGACATTTTGGTTTTATAGTCCAAACAAAATTCTACGGTCGCTTCCTGCACTAGATGCCAAAGAAATCATTGCTCTTACTGTCTTGATCGTACGAAAAATTCCTGACAACCTGTACGAGGAACTTGTTACTCATGCTCAATAAACTCTCCCACCTATTAGAACGACTTTTCTTTCTGATTGTTTTCCTCGTTTTCGTTCTTCCATTCCCTCGATCTATTTTTTTGATTCCTCCATCCAAAGGGGTTCTATTGATATTTTACTACTTATCTTTGGTCCCCATTTCTTGGCCATTTGGACCACCCAAATGCCTCAACATTGCTTATTTGATGGTTATTTTCACTTATCTCCTCAATAAGTTTTTTAGCCTTGTGTCCTGTTGTCTTTGCCTAGTTTTACACAAGGCTCGGGAATTTAGTAGCCCGGATGGCTTGATACAAGAGAAGTATTTTCTTTGTTTTGTTTGAGTGGATGAAGAAAACGAATATATGTGTATATTAGATTCCATAATGCTGCTGATGATTATTATGAAAATATAATGAGAAAGATGGGCGGGGGTTATTTAGCTATCAATATCAGTTTCTCTCACTGAATTTTAATTTTTTGTGTAATCGATAGTTAACTCATTGGACAAGATATAATCCTAGTATGCAAGGTAGCGGATTAAATGTAAGATCCATTCTAAGCTCAGGATGAGGAACAGCCGCAGCAAAGCTAGGAAAGGGGCGGGGAGGGGGGGAAAATATAAAGACGAGGTATCCGAGGAAAATAATATTTTTTTCAATCCTCTAATAGACCCTCCCTCACCTTTCGTCCGGGTCTATCTGTTTCTCCTCCCACAGACACCTTTCACATCGACAGGCACCCCCCAACGCTCCCATGGCCCACTCCCTTCTCTCCTTTACCCCCAAGCCCACATCACAGTAATGATTCAAAATCTCCTCCCCACGCTTAATCCCCGTCCACTTCTCATCCCCCGCATCCCCGCCCTTCCTCCCACCCCACTTAAACCTCTCATCCTCCCGCCTAACCGTGAACGTAATCTCCCCACCCCACTCCCAACGGACGTTAGGATCACACGAATGGTTCGCCAAACACCAGAGTGGGTGTACAGCAGAGACCTCCGGCCCGCCATCCCATGTCGATAAGCGGCCAGACGCCGTGCCGCGGAATTTGGCGTAGAGAGTGTTTAGCACCCAGGTGTCGTACGTGGGCAAGGTGGCGAAGGGATCCAGACCCATTTCCTCGAGGATGCGGGTGGGTTGGAGGATTGATAGATGGAAGGAGAAGGGAAGGGTTGCGGAAGGGGGTTGGAGGTTGGCGGTGTTGTTATTGTTACTTGACGCTGAGACTGCCGTTGGAGGAAGCATGCCGTCGTCCAGCGGGTGGAAATCGCCCCAGATATACTTCACCTCTGGTAGGTCTAATGGATGTATGCCCTGCGTAGCAGCCATGGCAATGGCGCGGCCTAACAATAGCAGGTAGAGGTAATCAGCTTTATCTTTGGGATCCTGTATGTCCTTTCCAATGGACTCAAGACCCTCCTGTCCGCACTCGGCCGCGTGGTAGACTTCCTGAGCGAGATCGTGACATTCCTGGCTGCAGAAGATGGTATCTTCGCAATCTCCGCAGGCGACAGAGGAATTAGCCGCAGAGAGATAGGGGATCGGTCCGTTGCAGGCATCACATAGGCTATCATGTAGACGATTCGTGGCAGTTAGGAGGGAGGATTCGTGCAGGAATGTCTCGCCGGGGGCGATGTCTTCGGTAGCTACGAGGCCAAGTTGGATGGAGGTCTCTTCTTCCTGTTCTTCCTGTTTACTCGATGGATCCCCACCAACTGTGTTGTGGTACAATGCAGGGAGCGCGACAGCGCGCACTTCGCACTTGGGCGCTATTTTCTTGAGTCTTTCATTAAGAAGTTGCAGAGTTTCAGGCGCGCTGCGATCTGGCTCGTGTGTATTCCATGGATAGAGAACTCTCCTTGCGTATCCTTGTGCATCAAGGTCAGCAGGTTGGAGTCTGGCCAGCAGCCCCTCGTCCGTTCCTTGGTCTTGATTGTCAGCGGAACCTCCACGCCCTTCCTTCTGCTGCCGCGATCGCTGGCGATCTACAAACGAGCGCTTTATGATAGAGAGTTGTTCTTCGAACACACTGAGGCTTGATTTAAGCTCCGAGTCCGGGAGGTCCATGGCCTGAACGCAGAAGTTATATGCGTCTCTCATGCAGCCGCACTGAACGAGACTTTGGACGAGCAATATGTACACATGTCGTATATTTTCCCTATATTCGTCTTGAGAAATGGATTCGAAGCCCTCTTCTTCATCTCCATCTTCGTCTTCTTCCATATGCCCGTCATCATCTGCATCATCGTCGTAATTCTCGGGCCCGCCATGATCACTTCCACCGCGAATACTTATGGCGGCAACACCATCCACAAGCCCAGAAGAACCCATTAACTCCATGGCATCCAGCCCCACCTTTTTACGAGCCCTATACTCGCTAGAGTCCGGATCAATCACCGCCTCAAACAGCGCCAGCGCGCGATATGCATCCGCCGCTGCGAGGTCGGGATACCCAAGCTTCGAATGTATGATCCCGCGCTGAAGATGGCGGATGGGATTATGAGGATCCACATAAAGCAAAGCCGTGGCATCCTCTCGCTGCATAAGGAGAGTTAAGCTAGGGCTTTTGCTATCATTCAGGTTGTTATGCCCGTTGCACTTGGTTTTGGCCGCCATATTGCACAGTTGGATCCTGTTTCACGAACAGCAGAGGGACAGAAGAGCTGAAGATGTTGCAGAACTGGACATCTCCTAGTTACTGGGTATTTTCAGGGAAATAGAAGGAAAAGGAAGATCAGCTCCTGTCCGTTCTTAAAAGCAGTAGCCGTTCTCTTTCTTGTTTTGGTGGATATATCTACACTGGCGAACCCCTCAGCTTATACGCCAACAAGCCTATCTCAATGTTGGCATAATCCACTAGTTGCCGATATCGTAAGACAATCATTAACTCCTCATTAAGAACTCCAGGATGGATGCAATCACCTTTTCTGGGAGGGGAATTTTTCAATATCATGTGACCTGTAAACCCTAAAACATACAGAAATAGTTATCTCAGCGGGCTCAGACCTCTGGCTCGGTTTGAACGGGTTGCAGCATTATTATTAACTAGTTAATCCGGCATGACACTAACCTACTTTTGATACAAGTCATGTGCTCAGAGCAATCCTCGCCAGAGGATCTGAGAAGAAATGATTCCATCTTCAATGAAGATTTCTGAGATTTACAAGGATTTTTCAGATTCTTTAACTTTGACTTTCTATTACTATATATCCATATATCTTTGAGATTTGAAAATCACCTTAGCTTATAGCTAAAGAGAAGAAGAATAGAAATATTTCTTTAATATTTCAAAAAAATCTATATTTAAGATAGATGTATACTCTTGAAAATGATCATATTTTTTGATCTCAGAATTTCTAAGAGCTTTTTTTTGTATGAGAAATTGAATCAAAATTCCTGTGTTCAAAAACACACTGGTCAACTTTGAGATGATACTTCTATTCTAAGAACTTGAGATATGAATATAAAAATCAGATACATCGCGAGAACATTGTTATTCTAAGGTTTCAAGGTGATACAGAAATGATGAATCTATGAAGTTGAGTTGGAATTCTCTTCCATACTCAGGGTACTGAGTAAATCCTTCCTGTGTTACTAACAATCAGAAACTGTTTCTTCTGTAGGCTACTGGGGCAAAAGAGCTCAATCACCACCAGCGCCTGCTGGTAGAAGGGCCGACCAACCGCGGGACCCCCAACACCCCCCCTCGGACCAGCTACCACAGAGTACAGTACTTCCCCTCAGTGGCTCTCTTCAGTGGCCTCCCCACAATGGCTCCTTTTAATAATGGACTGGACCACTCAGTCCTAGGGCTCATGGGACTTCTAGGGCACACTCCTGGGATGTCTCTTGGCACTGTTAAAATGTTCAAGGGTATTTGTTAGGAATTTTTAAGTCCATTCTGGGATTGAACCCATGCATGTTGACCACAGCGGGGCTCACGCTCAACGGTCTCATAACCTGTAGGCTACTGGGGCAAAAGAGCTCAATCACCACCAGCGCCTGCTGGTAGAAGGGCCGACCAACCGCGGGACCCCCAACATCTTCTCAGACACTTTGCAAGATATCATCACTCACATGACCTGATTTTACTATTTGGGTTAGCTTATTGCTTATTTGAGATTAGCTCATGACATAATCATCAATCCAGTGTTAAAACAGCAATGATATCTGGAGAAGCGTCTGAGCTTGCTGAGATAACAGAAATAGAATTGTTCTGTGATCGTTTATCAAGGGCCCTCTCTAATATTCTAAGGTTTATTTGACACGTTCATAAAAACAGCTTAGTAGTATTTAGACTATAGGTTAAATATAAGAATAAGCATGTTAAATATCTGAGGTTTGTAGTATTTTAATTCCTCCTTACTTCTCTCCACTCATTTCTTGTTCCACACAGCATCAACATACTATCCTTGCTGGCTGATTTTAGTAACCGAGACGAAAGAACTTTTAAGTGTCGTGATTTTCGTAATTATATGAGCATTGAAAGGTATACAGATATCGCGGTGCGAAATTTGCAGTAATCAAATAAGTGAAGGCATCGACTCCCCCTGGCTTCCATGCTGAAAGGAATAGACAGCGACATGACGAAACGGATTCACATAACCTAATGGTGCAAACAGTCAACAACTACGTCGCTTATTTTACAAACAGATTACTGTAGGAAAGGAATGACCAGTTTAAAAAATGCCCGTACTTACATTGCAATTCTCATCCAAGATGATGGTACCCCCTTCGCCCCCTTCTGTGCTTGCTTCTATGGTGCCTCGGACAACGTGTCTTTCTCTCAGCGTGGCTGCCAGGCGCGCTAGCATACCTCTCTATATAGCACAAGACATAAGTAAGTATTAGAAAAAGACCCCAAGGATGCCAAAGAGCCAAGGAAGGAAATGGGCACCGAGTACAAGCGTGATTTAACGGAACTACTGTTTCTTTCTTTATGAAAACCACGAGTTCCATTCAGAGAATGATACTCTCGTTCTGTACTCGGTGAGCGATTGAATCCCACGTACCGTGATGAAAGCTTCGTTCATCCCCCCTTGCCGGTTGATGTCATTTTGACTCATTATCTGGTAGCTGTCGTGCATGCACTTTCGACTTTTGAGCCCAATGTCTCGACGGTCAGTTTGGTTTCCTCCGAGGTGATTTTCAGAAACGATATTGGCGCTCGCGTCCGGGTCCGCAATGTTAATCCCTAGGCGGGCATTGTGCTGAGCTCGAATGTCCGGAGAAAATATCTTGATGGTTCGATCGATCCCAGAGACCGCGAGGGTTGGTTCGTACGGGTGGCCTATAGAATTCCAAGTAAGTTGCCTGAGGTTTGTACTAGAAAGATATTTGGATTGAGTTAAAAATCTTACCTTGAACCACGTTGACAACATCACTATCTCCCTCCAAAATATTAACCAAATCCGAGGTCTTCCGGTCCCAGATAAATACATGCCCGGAATCACTGCCACTGACTACATATTCGTCGTCCAATCCAAAATAATTCACATCTTTGATCGTTTTGACATTGCAATGTCCCCGATAAACATTTACATGCGATGAACAGGGGACGTTACTTTCAACGGCATTCCGTCGATTGCCACCCCGGATAAACAAACGGCCAGCGGACCCGCCAAACTCGCCACTATCATCAGAGTCGAGAGCGTGGCCGTCGTCATCTGAATCTGAGAGGTAATCATGAGCGTCGTCCGAACCCTCATCATCTGTTCCGGAGTCATCTTCCTCATTGGAATCATCATCTGTCTGGTGTTGTTCCAGCGAGCCGGCTACTGGTGACTCTTGGCCACGTGGAGGTTGGTCACTCATAGCAGTTTCCGCTTCCCGCTGCTCCCTGCTACTCTCTCGATGCGTAGAAGTTACTAGTCTAACCTCCTCGATCTGCTCCTCTTCCTCGTCAGGATCGATGTCCTCCTGTATTCTTTCCCTTTGATCGTCATCTTCATCCTCCTCCTCCACAGTAGTTCGAATACCACCAAAGGCACGGTTAACAAATTCAAAGTTGACACCCTCGCCCACATCCATAAGTATTCCTCTGCCCACCTTAAGGCCCCAGAATCTAAAGGACGCACGGCGGTCCAAAGCTTGTAAATTCGGCCGTCCCTCACTTCCCTCACCATCCTCTTCTTCCATAGAAGCAGCAGCGCTTCCAGAAAGGTCGACTAGAGACAATTTAACAGATTCCGCAAATGCGTTAACAGCAGCTAGTTGTGAGCCGAACAAGACGCGAGATGAATCGTGCTCAAATCTCGACGCATCCACATTTTTGATGGCATCATCACCTGCCAGATTTCGGAGGTATGGAATTAATATAGTTTCGATAGAATCGTCGCCAGCGTCTTCAGGTATGGGGAATCTGTCACTATCATGGCGACGGGCACGATTCCATTTGAAACCCTGCAACATAGCCTGTCGTCCGCCCTCGAGCCAGAGGAGAATGGCTTTTAGGAAATCGTATCCAAATTGGGAGGAAGGATCTATCATTCCGTTTTCCGTTGGGGCGGGTACAATTTGGCGGAATAATTCCAGCTGAGGACTATCCGAATCCGAAGGTGTTTGAAGCCGACCTCCGAGTACTCTGGCTAGCGTACCCGACGCTTGTACAAAGCGCCGGGAGGTTTCACGGTTCCTCCGCAGTGCCTGCTGGAATATAACATCATCATGGGATGGGTTGAGAGGATATCTCCATGTTCTGATGACTTCGTCCATTTCAGATAGGCATGTCGCAGCATGTCCTAAGGTAGAAATAAAGGAGGCCGTGTATGGTGTCAATTCGGACTCAGCAGCCACTCTTATGGATGAATCAACCGAAAAGAGGAGCTTTCGGATTTCAACGAGAGTCTTTGCGATTTTTAAGCTTAATTTTTGGGCCTCGTTGAGGACTGACTCCCGTGCTCTTTCTATCAGATCGGAAGGGGCGTCAGGTATACCACCTGGGAGGGAATCGAGTGGAATATCCTCTGACCGGCCATTGCCATATCGGACTCTGAAGGACATATCTTCATCTTCTTGGATACTGCCAGACCTTCGCCGTAGGTTATATCTATTACTACTCGCCCTGGATGCGGGGTTGGCATTCTCTCGCTTCCGCTTTCGGGTCCTACCCTTCTTTGTCTTGTTAGTACGAGTGCCATCTTGAATGGTCGGCTCCTCAGGCTTCTTGGCATCCCTAGCATCAGGGCTGCGCATAATATCGAAGCTATAGATGTGATCCCCGGACCAGCTGACCACTATTTCATTAGGATTGGCATCGCTTATCTTGCATGCTGTGATATGACCGTTATCTCTAGCTCTGACTCGTTTCTGACCGTTTGGGGCGAACCGTCGGACACATCTGGTTGCCTGACCCATCGCGTCGTCATCAGAACTCCCAGGTACAGGCGATAGACTTCCCATCTGGCCTCGTTCAGCAAGGAAGTCACGCCCCAGCATTCGCCTGTCATGAAGGAAGCAGTGTAAATGGGCTCCTCCGAGGGCTATATATTGAGGCTGGCTCGAAGAACAGGATATACTGTTCAAGTCGATGTGATACCGCTTGTATGATATTAACGGGGGGGGAACATTGGAATCGTCATGGTTAAGGCCCGGCCTATAAGCCATAAAGCCTTGGCCGCCACGAGGCGAAGGATATGCAGAAGACGGCTGCCGTAGATCCCACTGTCGAACTTCACCGTCTTCAGAGCAAGTGAGGAACAGATAGGGCGAGGACTCGGTGACGATACGTTTCACTCGGTCAGCATGGGATCTATAGACACGAGCATTCGTGTTCGCCTCTGTGAGGTACCACATCCCATTAAAAAAGTTATTGAACCGACGGCCTCTAGGGGGGGAGGCAAATTCCGATGCCGCAGATGTTCGACCCGAGTGCTCAATGTCAAAAACACGAACTTCCGAATCGCCTGCACACGAGACAAGTGTCCGATCATTGGAGTGTGGCATAAATTTTACAGAAAAAATGTTCGCGGAATGTCCAGTTTGTATGGTAGTATTGAGGAAGAAGGGTGCGGTGGATGAATCAGGCTGATAGGAGTAAATATTCAAGTGCTGATCGTCGGAGCCAGAGGCCAGGAGTTTCCCGGAAGTAGACCAACTAGAGGCATATAAGTTCAGCTTATATTCTGTTTAAGAGATCCATACGTAGAGATGGGTAGTCATCCACCCATCTATCCACAGAGCTCCAAGCTTCGAGAATCTAGCTAATAGGCATACTATACCTTAAGGCATTAACGCAACCAGTATGACCACCCAGTTCATTCACAATATCCATATCATCTATCCAAATTTTATCTCCATAGATTCCCGAGATACTCGAGTAGGGCGTATAGTCCCCAAGCTCACGCCTAAGGAGGCGCTTTTCCAAAACCGACTTCATGTTGCAAGATCAAGCCAACACAGCCCGCAACGAGTTAGGAGAAAGCTTTTCAGTTTCCAAGCATTATCAGTACAGAGATCACGCCTCCCGGGATTGACACAACACGGATATGTCAGATTCGTCAAGGTATATTTGTCACAATCGTCGGGCTTGGGTTTTCGGTGGCGGCAGCTGCGGATTTCTTGAGGTTGACGAGGCTTTTTGTTCGTGGGTTTATGGCTAGAGCGAAACTTAAGTACGATGACTTTAAGCTTCTGGTCAAATGAATACAATGCTCGCAAAGTTCCCCTTGTTAGGGATGAAGTTCTGGGAGCTATCGATCGTCAAGCGGAGTTGTTGAAGTGGAAAAAAAGGATGAACAAGCGACCAAGGACACAGTCACATAAAAATACGTTGGAAGTTTGGGGGAATCCAATATTACACTTTCACAAAAGTAGCGGTTGTCTTCGATGTCGACAGGAAGATTGCAGCCCAAGGGGCGTCCTGAGGTTCTTATCAGTCAGTCCCGTCCGTCTTCTTCCTCTTGCGATTGATTCCAGGTCTGGTCTGTCTGCTGCTGCTTGACCCCACTCTCCCGCCCTTGGGGCTTAAGCCCGCGGCATCATCGACAACATCACGTGATTGGCTGCTTATGACATCAGTATCCAAGACCCTATGGAAGTTACTACGCTTGTCGTCGAGTTTGGGTCTGATAACAGCCTGTGTCTATAGTAGGGATGTATGTACAATTGGATGTAAAAGCACTTTTCCCTTGCTATGTGCGGATCAGACGAATGGCCGCCGGAGTCCCCCAATATACAACTTCACCGCCACTGTCTCTCAGGTTGAGAGGCATCGTGGCTTACCTTTGGGGGTAATATACCTGCCCTTCTTTGGATAGTAAACCTATTGATATAGCCTTACGCCCATCCATCCTATTACTCTATTGTCCCCTTTCAGCTCTTCGCTTCCAGCATTTGTCATGTATATGCCATCTCCACCACCCCAGAGATATCGGAAGCATTCAGATGGCTATAATCAGTATATGTCAATCGCCGTCAGAAGCAGCCTACTGATGGGATTTGTCCTCTCCTTTTCCTTGCTTCGCTTCTATCAACCTAAGAATTCAAGACTAGGTTTACGATTCTCTTGTGGCCGGCAAGTCGGTTTCCCCCTCCCCACCTGGACAGTCCAGTGTAGCCATTATTTCTTTTACCTAGCCACTCTAGGAAAAAGTAGAAAGAAAGGGGGAAAAAATCGAAAAGCGGAAAAATTGATCCAGTGCAGTTTGGAGACCCGCAAAGGATGGGAATACGAGAAGTAGGTAACTTGCATGTTTGCGTAGGGTTAGTGACAGAGTTTCCATGGGGGCGAAGGTAACTTTCTCAGTTACTCCCAAACCAGCCCCGGGCTTGTGTGTAGATCTCCCGCACCCTCAAAAAAACATCCAGCGCTTCGGGGGAAAAATGAGTTGTATCATGACATATCATTAATTAACTTATATATTAGTTCGTGGGAAGTATAGAAATAAAATAAAATCACTCTTGCCTGCGCCAATCATCGTCAAAAGGGATATGAGATCAAGTCACGTTCAATCATCATCCATAACATTACTCTTCAAGGGAAAAAAAACGATAAGAAATAACAATAAAGAAAAGGAAAGCATGACAATGCTCACTGTTCAATTCAGCGCCGCAAGAGAAAGCATGGGTGTGTTCAACTCACCCAACAACCCAAACCGGCCGTCTCGCTTCCTTTCCACCACTAGCAATAGTAGTAGTAGCAACACCACCACCAGAATCCAACCGATCAACCGCACCCCGAACCCACAGCCTCTCCAACTTCCCAACATCCGCCTCAACCGCACTCATAACCTCCAACTCGTCAATCATCGACGCCAATAGCATCTTATGCCCCCGTACAGCGCGAACCAGCGCTGACGATGGCGGACATCCATCACCACCTTCGCTATGCATACTCACATCCGAATCGACACCTTTGGCTTGTTGTCCGTCCGCCATACGTCCGTTAACAACATCAACATCAACGTCAAGACAATCCAGCTCTCTAGCGCAGAGTTCCAACTTCACGCCCAGCGCAGCGACTTCTTCCTTCCACTTGAAGCCAAGGGAGTCTATGAATTCGTACTCGCAGCTGCTTTTGGAATTATCATTATCATTATTGTTATTGCTGCCCTGGTCTGCGTCATCATCGTCGCCGTATTTGTTAAGAGCTGGTTCTTGGGACCGGGCCGGATTCTGGCTTCCGGTCCTGCCCTGTCTCACCCTCGCCACGTGTTCGAACCATTTCTCAAAGGTGCGGACGCAGGAGATATATCTGCCCCCGTGCATATCCGTAAGAGTTGCAACATCCTGTATCACGCGCGACAATACCTGGATTTGCTGCGAGAAGTCGTAGGGACTGCTGCTGCTGCTATAATTATAATTATAATTATAATTATTATTCCTGGTGCTTCTGCTCGTATGTGTCTTGTTATCTGCCGCGAGTTTGTTAAGGGCGAGGTTGTTGATATGACGCTGTGCTGCTTGCTCCTGAGCAAGCAGCGTGCGGTACTTGGACACCACTGATTTGTGCTGTTTGTGGAGTTGTTGCTCAGCACTGGATTCCCATTCTCGTCTAGCGAGTATAGAGTCGGCGTGGAGGAGATGGAGCTGAAGGAGTTCCACTTGTAAGGCTGCTATGTGTGGATGGATCGGTGTCGATGGCTCATTTCCAGTTCCGGTCGCAGTTGCAGTTGCGGTTGCGGTTGTAGGGGATGTCAAGGCAGGAGGGATAGGCGGCTTCGTTTTCGGCCCCTTTTTAGGACTGAAATGTTGCTGGAAAGTAGAGAATTGCGGCTTGTTCACTTTGAATGGAGTGGGGCTTGTGCTGCCCTCGCCCTGTTTCACACCTGCATAAGCATAACCCTTCGTCAAGCCTACAAGATGACTTTGGTGTCGCGAATGATTCGCAGTGGTGGTCACTCTCGACGTAATGGGTTGCCTTAATGATGCGGACCTCTCCAATCGTGTTGCATTTGCTGGTTGAGGCCTCGGGGCGTCCGGTTTAGGCCTGTGCCCTGATCCAGGTCTCTCAGGTCTCTCAATGCGCTGTGTAGGTTTACTTTGATGTCTCGATCCCTGTGTGATTGTGCTTGAAGAGCGAGGCCTTTGAGCTTTTGTCAGAATATGTCCGCTTTGCGGTCTCGACAGTTGCGAGCTGGTCGTGCTGGACGACTCTGGTCTTTCGGAGCCGGGGGGAGGTCCATCCAGAGGTTTCGATGCATCCAATTTGGGTGCATTCGCTGATCCCGGTCGTTCCAACCGGCTCATACCTGCAGCTTGGGCGCGTGTAGGACTGGTCGCCGGTCTGGATAGCTTTGACGGCGACAACGGAGGAGGTGGCTGACCATGGTCTGGTGCTGGAGCGGAGGTTTCAACATGTCGCGCTAATACAGGTGACTTGGGCGCTGGGGCCTGAGCTTCTTGAGTATGGGCATCTCGTAGCCGTTGTAATTGACTATCCTGCAGCTGCAGCTGCGATCTGCCCGAAAGAACGCCCCCTGCACCGCCCTTTTGCCAACTGCTACGCTGTGGCAAGAGACTGCGACGACGAGCTGCACGGGTACCGTCACCACCATTGCCACCATTACCTCTAGAGTTTGTCTGTGCTGTTGTGGTCGTGGCTGGCTGAGGAAGACCCGAGGTTGGCTGGTTATGGGAAGACAGATTTGAGCTCCGGGTTGGTGCGGATGTCAATGCCGACGAAGATGTTGTGGCAGTGGACGATACAGTGTTTGAACGGGGTTTTGTTGGTCGGGGGCTCTCAATTTCGGGGATCTGTGCTATGTGCATACGTAGGTTAGAGAAGGGATGCCTTGTTTTTCCTTTTTACTTTCTGCACAGTTCACGTATCAATTGCCTTCTTTTTAATTTCACGGGGATGGGTAAAGTTTCGTGTAGCGTACCGTAGCTTCGCGATCCAGATCAGGAGGAGGCTTCCGTTGCTGGCCGATGCGAGGTTCACGGAGGGAGAGTCTCCGCGTAGGGATTGGCATTGTTTCAAACCACTGGTTCAACAGTGGCATATATCATGGGAGAGAGATTGGCTACGTCCCCGAGCAGCTGTGGTCGAGGATAATGGCATTGACTTTGTCTGGGAAAGGTAAACAAAACTTAACTACATGTAGGAGGTGATTGTCGGGCTTGGCATAAATATGGCAATTTTAAATAAACCAAAACCATGCCTAGCTAACTAGTTATTTGGTGAACGACATGGAGCCAGCACCAGACCCAGCACAATTGCGGGCTTTGTAAGATGTAACTAATAATATCAAAAATGGAACGAGTGGTGAGGATACGCGAAGAAGACCTCGGCAAATTTTAAAGTACAGGACAATTGGTCTCACTATTTTTGACTGCGACATTGCCTCGCCTGCCAATCCTTAACTAGTTAGTTACCCCAATGAAAGCAAAGCTAGATTTATGTAGGATAGTTGAAGGTTGTATTGATAGATCTATCTACAGGAACATAATATAGTGGTGGGTCACGTGATCTAGTGGGATCGCTAACCGCAACGGCCGTAAGGGCCAACACCCCCCCTCGAGATAACAAGAATCACATACAAAAACACCCAAACCACCAAGATAGTCTGTCAAAACCAAATACAAATGTAAAATTAAACATTTCCAACTTTTATATCTGTAAGACCTAGCAAAATCATGAATTGCACAAATGTCACAGTGTCTAGAGGTTTAGTGAGTTCATCTGCTATCATCTAAGCAGTGAGAATGTATTCTAAATCAATGACTCTCTGATTCAACTGTCAACATAAAAAATGAAAATGTGTGTCAATGTGCTTACTTTGAGCTGTAATGACTGCCATCTTTGTGAGATCTATGACACTCTTATTATCAGTGAGAATCTGTATCAGAGATGTAGTGATAAAGCTGAGCTCAATCATGAGGTTTCAGATTCATATTGCCTTGTGAACTGTCTCACTAAGAGTCACATATTCAGCCTCATTGAAACTTAGAGATATATAAGATTGCTTTGCTGAACATCATGAAATCAGGCTGTCTGTGAGCTTAAAAATGTAGCTGAATGTTGATTTTCTATTATTATTTAAGAGATCAGCTCAATCGGAATCTGAGTAGCTGAAGAGTAGGTAGAAATCATCAGGGAAATCAGAGATAACAGAGAGATCAGTAGAAACAGTAGAAACAGTAGAAATGAACTTCTTATACAGACTGCATTTGTAGAAAATGCTCAGATTCATAATCTCTTTCAAATAATATATAACATGTAACAGAGTCTTTCAATATTGAGATGTTAGATTAATGTTCTGTTGAGTGAGTAGTGAGACAGTGTGAGTGATATCAGAATGTGTTTTGACTGTGAGATATTGCAAATAACTCATATCATATTAATATCACTGAATTGTGAAATCAGTCTCTTTCTCAGATATAGAGAAATCATTAATACAGAATTCATTCTTCATTAATATTCTAATGACAGCTGTATTATCAAGATAGAAATCTTCAACAAGGCATTTGATATATTGATAATATATTAAATCAATTCTCTTGTCTGAATAATTGATCTTCATACTCAAATACTTAATTGACTGATATAGATTCTTAACTTTCAATTTCTCACTGAGTATACTCACTAGTCAATCAGCATTCTCAGAAGCTTCAGATATGATGTTGAGATCATCAATATAGATTATTATATAGAGGTGACATCTGAATATATGATATCAGAGTGCTGAATCATGAGTGCTGACTGTAAATTCAAGATTGCTTAACAGAGCTGTTAAGTAATCATATCAGATCTTCACTGTGAGGTTCAGATTATATAGACTACTCTCAATTATACAGACAAGCATTTTCAGTGAACCTGTCTCAAATTCAGTGAATTGTCTCATATAGACCTTCTTAGTAAGATGTTTATGAAGATATGCTATCACTATATTCACTTGACAGAGTGTTCAACTGTGTAGTACTGCTATTGTAAAAAGAATATGATTAGCAGTATCAGTAATAACAGAAGTGTAGATCTCTTCTCTAGAACTCTTCTTAAGTCAGTTATTACAAATCACTTAATGTGATTTTCTAAGAATATTATCAGAATCAGTATTCAGGTCTGCAGGCCTATCTTTCTTAAGAAACACTCAACAGTCTGAAGCAATCAGTTCACTTCTTGAAATGTCAGATCTAGAAATCAAACTTCATGTATTGTGTCTCTTCAGATTGATAATCTCATGTTGTATGAACTTCTTTCAATAATCTTCTACTCTCTCTGACTGTGATGCAGCATTTTTGTAGAACTTCAGAAGGTTATCTGTAACAGAGTTTGAAGTGTAAGTAGCTAGTGATTTCACAGGCTGCAATCATGTAGAATTCAGATCATCAATGTCAGAAGCATCTTCATTATCAATCAGATAAATATCAGGTTTCAGTTCACTGATATTATTAATAAGTGTCACAGATGTGACAACTGGTTTTTCAGTGATCAGAAACCTCACATCACTACTGACAATAATCTTATCAGATTTGAAATACTATAGACAATATATTGATGTGCCACTGAATTCAATGATACAATAGGAATTGACATGTGAAGAAAGCTTATCCGCGGGTCACTGAGATTTATGCAAGTGAATAAAAACCTCTGCACTCAATCAGCAAAAATGCCTTACATTTGATGAGATATTTGTAAGTGCATATCAAGAAATCTTATATGAACTTGAAATCACAGAGATCTCTGTAGTAGAGGGTCAAAATTTTGAGTTGTAAAGAACTGTAGATGTGAGAGTATTATTGATTATTGCAATCACTGTCTCTAGAACATCTGTTCAGAACTTCTTAGAAAGATTACCTTTCAAAAGAGCAGCTCTAACCTGTTCTATGATAGTATGAATTCCATGTTCAGAAATGTCATTCTGATGTGATGAGTGTGATGCTGTTGATTCTCATTTGATATCATATGAATTTATAACTGTGTGCATATGTGTGAATTGGAAAACATCATCAATATCAGTCTGTAGAAAAGCAGGGACTGTATACTCAAGATTATTCATGAATCTGAGTCACAACTCAAAGTATTGAACAGTCTCATTCTTGAACTTTAAAAAATATACTCAATGATAGTGAGTTGTATTACAGATGATGAGTATTCAGTATTTGATTCTCTGATGAAACTCTAAGAGATGATCAGAGAGGTCTTTCAATGTACATCTGTCATCTGCAAGGTTAATATGAACCTTCTCAATGAGTTGAATAGATCTAGGCATCAGTGTTTTCAAATAATCTCATGTCATATCAGTCTTGACACATTCCTTACAAAAGAACTTAGTCTTAGAACTCTTAATTGTGACTTTAGTATGGGAATTCTTGGCCATAGCAATTATAGCATCAGCATGAATGTGACTGAGGTCACAGTGCCAGTTTAAAAGAGTCTTTGATATTCTTGTATTCTTGAGGCCTGTATTCATGTCTGCAGAATTGACATTATTAACAGTAGTGACAGCAGTCACAGAAAGATCAACTTTTTGATCAAAATTGTACTTATAAGACATCATTGCAATATACTTGACTGCTCTGTTTAAATGATTGAAATTCTCATTGAACTTCTGTTTATTGATCTTATATATATTGTTCTGAGCAGTTTGAACTGTATGAAAAATAACATCATTCAGAGCTCTGCAAATGAAAAATGAGGAAATAGTGAAAGATAATGTAAATTAAAATCTCTGATCTTCAAGCTTTGCAAATGAGAGTAGATTAACTGTAATATTAGAAATATAGTGAATATTCTGCAAGTTAACATCATCACTCTCAATCTTCAAGATGACAGTTTCAATCTTCTTGATAAATTCAGTTTTCTCAGTTGCAGAATTGACAGAGATATTATCATTAAAAGATTTGATGTTTGAAAAAGAATAAAGCTCACCTGTTATATTCAGGCTTGCACATGTGTTCAAATATCAAGATCTAGAGGATGATTTTTCAGTGACTGTGAAGAAGAAGTAGAACTCAATCTTTGTAATTACTGCATTCACTACTGATTGAGAACTCATTAAGTCATTCTTCTTCTCTTTCTTCTTGTCATTCTTCTTGTCATTCTTCTTTTTCTTTTTATCAGAGTGTAAGATGAAACATCTGTCAACAGTATGTTCATATCTTCTGCAGTGAGTGCACTTTCATACAGATGTGCTTTTATTCTCATCTTTGTCCTTGTTCTTCTTTGCAGTCACAGAATCAGCCTGAGACTGCTTTTTTCACTCAGTGATGATCTTCTTGAATGTATGATTGATCAGTTGCTTCATCAAATCATTAATATCAATGTTGACAATGAGTCTCTGATCAGTGAAGAAAAACTCATTCAAATATGTCTTAACAAACAGTCTTTAGTAATCTTGTAGATTGTTGAGAAAAAGATTATAGTATACATTCTCAGTACTCTGACAGAGCTCTTTGTGATGAGTAATAAGATAGTGAAAATATCTCTGAAAAGTAAGATAATCATTCTTCTTAACTTGTAATTTTATCAATTTCTTGAAGACATTAACTCATTCTTCAGTCAGTGATATCATATATTTCACATTGATCTTGTCTCACAGGGCTGCAGCATTGTCAGCTTTCAAGGTTTCAATAGTGATTTGAATGTTTTCAATAAGACTTGATAGTATACATTTATATAGAGACTTGAAATGAATTCTCCACTTCTCAGAGTTGATATGACATGTAAAAGAGAATTCTCATTGAGTTCTCAATAGAATGTCAGTTTCATTAATAACTTCTGCATCAGTCAATATATCAACACATCAGACTTCATAATTAGAGTCATCAAATGTAGTCACTGATTTGATATCTAGTATATATTTGACTTTCTTCTGATATTTCTGTAACTCATCTCTTATAGTGTCTCTTTATACAGAGACAGATGTAGTGAGATGTTAAGCAGTTTCAGCTGCAGTCATTTAATTCTGTAGCATTATCTGCATAAGATTTATAAGATTGCCTGCGATGCAATAGATAGATTGATTCAGATCATCATTAAAAGTCAGTATTTCAGAGATAAGAAACAGTGAAGAATTCAAAGAATTGAAATGAACAGATTCTGCAGATGAATGTTAATATTAACTCTGCTTTTCTTTATTCTGAAGTTTCTCTGTTGTCTCATCATCAAATTTCATACTCTGGTGAAAACTGATCTCAGTCTCATCTTGCAAGTCAGAAGCTTTCTCATAATGAGTGATTATTCTATCAATAAGTCATCTAGTGAAGCATGTAATTCTGGGCCTTGAGCTGAACTCTGAAGTAACAGGTGTATCACTTATATTGAGATGACTCTGCTTCTTCTAGATGTGTAAAAAAAAAATAAAAAGTGATATTCTTCACAATGAAGAACATACTTTCTCAAAAATATAAAGTATATGAATTCACTGACTGGCAGATTCAGGGAAAATGAAATATCTCTTATAAAGAGTAAGAGTCTTTTCAAAAAAGATGAACTATCTGTGTCAAAAATATGTTGGTACAATGTTCTAAAAAGAAAAATGTGCCATCCAGGCTATAACCTGTAGAATAGTTGAAGGTTGTATTGATAGATCTATCTACAGGAACATAATATAGTGGTGGGTCACGTGATCTAGTGGGATCGCTAACCGCAACGGCCGTAAGGGCCAACAATTTATGGATAGATATTGGTCACCAAAACCGGCGACGACGAGAATTATCGCCCGAACATTTCAGTGGGATAAGGACTTGTACAGTGCCTGAAACTCTGGGGGTAAAATAAGGCAGTTACATTCTAGTATTCAATCAAATTGGTTAGGCTCGGGGGAATCGCACGGAAAGAAAAAAAAATAAAAATTGTGAGGCGTACATTCAAAGATGCAGGTTTAAAGTAGCTAAGGTGCCCTTTTTATTATATTGCCAACTCAGCTCATTTCAAAGATTCCCCTTCGAAGGAAACGCAATCCCCTCAATAGCCGGAGTATCCGTAAACCAGCTTACTTTCTCTGCACCGGCCGTATTCACCAATGCGCACGGGAGACTCCGCCCTTCCTCTGTATCAAAGATCTTCTTCATGATCTCTTTCTTCCCAGCACCCGTCGCCACAAACGCAATTCTCAGTCCGTGTGTAACAACAGGCAAGGTGAGCGTGATGCGTTTAGGTGGGGGCTTGGGCGAATCCGAAATCGGAGCGACCCAGGCATCTGATTCGCGGAGGAGTTCGTGGTCAGGGAACAGACTGCAGGTATGCCCATCTGGGCCGCAGCCGAGCAGCAGGAGGTCGAAAACGGGTAACTTCACGCTATCCTTGGCGGCGAAGGAGCGCATCAGCTCTTCCTGATACTGGTCTGCCACTTCCTGCGGATCATCGTCGTTGATATGCGTAACATCGATTGGGTGGACTTTGGGCGTTCCCAGCTCTGCGGGGATCTTATCGATTAGCTCAGCTTTCACGAGGCGGTAATTGCTATCTTCGTGGTCGAGCGGTACGACTCGCTCGTCGGCGAAGAAGATATCCCAGGTGGAAAAACGGGGGGTGTCTTCGTCACTGCCGTCGCTGGGGGCGAGGAGCGCTTTAGCCAGGATGGCGGGCAGCGAGCCGCCAGAGACAGCTACGCGGAAAACGTCATGCCTGGCGATGGCTATGTTCTGAGATTGCAAAACATACTTCCGAAGATGCTTTGCAAGAGTGTCCGTGTCAAGGAATGCGTAAAGATTCGGAGATCCCGCCATGGTTGAGATGAAGCTGTCGTGGTGGGGTTGATGAAGCTAGTAGCGGGGTATGAAGGACGGAGAGTAACGGTGTTCTGGAGAAGCTATTTGTGGAAAGCTGATAGGCTTTCGGAATATGTGTATCGAGCTCACGGGTTAATAGGAAGAAAATGGCTTGGGGACGACGACGTGCATACGTAAGGAGAGCAGCGGAGGTTGAAAGTTGCATTCAACAGCAAAAGTTCAGCCAAAACTATCTCGAACTGCTCCTGAACTAAACCGATGACGCACTGCACTGGGCGTTACATAAACATGGCTCGACTTCTTCACCATCCCGCGAAGAAGAGGCAAACTCCTTGGTGTCCTTGATCTGTATGTGGCTTAATTATTTTTTACATAGTATATACGATTCAATGACATGCCTACTACTCGATAGGAGCTTAGAAGTAGTTGTCGACAACGATTGCAGACCATAACTGACATACGCCTCAACAAGTGGATGGAGGGGCAAGACAAGTCAAGTCGAAAACAATAACATACATAGCATAACAAATTCGAATATAATTAATTCCCATATAGCCAAATCTCAACATGGCACACAAGTAAAACTCTTCATTCCATCTACATATTATCTGAATGCCAACTTGATGCAAGAAAAGCCACGTTACCCATTTCTCTTTGCTTCATCTCAGCTTATAGTAGTATGCAAGACCCCGCTGCCCCTGTAGCATCTCAAAACGGAGCTTCCTTCTGCCCAAAGATTCCAGGGCTGCATTTGATATATAACGCAGTTACATACATTAAGGACTTGGTGACACCAAAAACAGGGGGAGATTTTCTACTGCTATCTATCTATCTCCTACAATTTCTAAAAGCAATGTCTGGGTGTAACATGCTAGCATTCACTACTGGAAAACCAGACCATGCAAGGCAGCAAGGCACTGAGATGTGGCAGATACAGCTCATTCAGCTCATCCATTGAAAGAGAGATGAAAGAGAGAATATACAAGAACTGAGAATTCATGTAACTGTTTAGGGCTGATCATGGGTAAGTTTCTGTTCAGTTACTCATTGACTCAAACTGAATCCCGTTCTAGATGTATGTACTCATAATAGTAATCTCAAACCCAGTGAAGCTTACTCTTCTTATAATCTTCAGGCTTCAGAGCACTGTCAGTAGCAAAATAGAATTATAATGATAGAAAGACCTACTAAATTTCTATGTAAGAAATCCCGCTCCTCGCGGATCCTTTACCCCTATTCCTATCTCTCGCGTAACCAATAGGGCTAGCGGCCCTTGGCTACACACAACTATATAGACTGGAGTTCGCGAATACTATTCACAACTCAGCTTGAATGCTATTATACATTTGATCTCTACATTTATCTTTCTACCGCAAACACTTCTAGTAGTTAACAGTACATATCATGCCAAGCTGCAAACACCTGAATAATCGCCTGCGAGCACTTATTCTTACATTTCAAGCTCAGTCAGTCAGCAATCACCTGTTATGACTGGAAGAACTAGAAACTCGCGTGCTCCAACCCCTGCGAACCCTACTGCAGGCACCCAGGAGCAGCCACCCGAACCATGGATAACCCCCATGGAAGAAGTCCCAGAGGACTTACCAACCACTCGCGGGACACCATCCTCTGCATCTGTGACAGGGGAACCCTCTGAACCCACGAACGAACCAATCTCAGTGGAGAACATTCTTGAGCACCTCCCGCGGGACCAAGCTATTTTTCTACAAGGAATGCTGCTGCCCCGCAAGCATGGGAAGCATTGGTGGACTCAGGATCCCAGGCCACTGTGGTGTCCCTAAAGCTCGCGGAGCGAATGGGCTGGAAGGTGGAGACTGGGAACCTGCTCTTGCAACAAGCAGGGCGTGAGAACTCAGACCTGAGGGCTGAGGGACTTGTGAGAGCCACCTTTGAATTGCAAGATCTCTCTGGAACCTGAAGGAGATTTGTGGAAACTGTGATTGTCATGAACATCACAGATGACATGTATTTGAGACTTGCATGACTTCAAAGACACAATCCGCACATAGCTGTCCATGAGTCAGGTTTATACTTTCAATCAGTGTTGGCAGACTCACTCATGAAGGTAGAAGCAGTTGATGCTGCAGAGTTGGTTAGAGGAGGCAAGCTCATCTATATGATGACTTTGTGAGTGTCTGAGAACCTTGCAGTCATGAAAACTGAGCTTCAGATATCAGAGAAATACTGAGATCTTGCAGAGGTGTTCAGCTCAGCTAAGGCAGCTGAGCTTCCTTCTCACTGTGAGGAGAATCTGGTAATAGATTTGATAGAAGAGCAGAAACCCTTCTGGGAATCAATCTATAAGCTCTCTCATCACAAGACAGAGGTCTTGTGAACCTATGTGAAGAAGAATCTGAAGAATGACTTCATTCAATCTTCACAGGCCTCTGTGAGAGTCTCTGTGATGTTTGTGAAGAAGAAGAATGAAGATCTCAGATTGTGTGTAGACTATCACAATCTGAACTTCAAGACAATAAAGAGTCACTACTCTCTGTCTCTGATTGAGAATGTGATCAATCATCTTGCAGAAGCTGTCATATTCACACAACTGAATGTGATCAATGCATATACACAGCTGTGAATACAGTCTGAAGATGAATGAAAGACTGTCTTTAGAACTGCACTGAGATTGTTTGAATATCTAGTGATGTCTTTTGGTCTGACTAATGTCTCTGCAGCATTTCAGTCTTTCATCAACAAAACACTTTGTGCATATCTGAATGTCTTTGTGATAATATATCTGGATGATGTGGTGGTGTACTTCATAAAGAAGAAAGAACACACTGAGCATGTGTGAAGTGTGTTGAAGGTCTTAGATGAGGCAGAACTGTATGTTAAGCTCATGAAGTGCAACTTCAGTGCCCACTGGATTAATTTCCTAGGATATGTAATCACTGTGAATGATATTCAGATGGAATCTTTGCAGATTGAGACTATTCTATCATGGCTGGAGTCAACTAGTATTCATGAGATTCAGATCTTTCTGAGCTTTGTGAATTTCTATAGACAGTTTATCTTTGTATTCATGAGGATCTTCTTGACTCTTACAGACATGCTGAAGAATGAAAACAAGAAGAAGTCATCCTGCAAACAGAGGATGGAAAGGTTGTTGAGAAGGGAGAACTGTGAGGACTTTCTTACCTCAGAAGCTCACAGGGCCTTTGCAAGGTTGAAACAGATATTCACAGACATAGTGATGCTGTTCCACTTTGATTCCTTACTCTTAATCAGATTGAAGACAGATGCCTTCTTCTTTGCAATTTCAGGAATAGTCTCACAACTACAGTTAAATGAAAACTGGGTTTCAGTGGTCTTTTTCTCGCGGAAGATGCAACCTGTGAAGATCAACTATGGCATTCATGATCAGGAGCTTCTTGTGATAGTGGAATTCTTTCATCACTGATGTCACTACTTTGAGAGCCTCATGACAGTGATTACTGTTAGAACTGATCATGACAGCTTGCAACAGTTTACTTCAATCAAGAAACTCTCACAGTAGCAGGTTCACTGGGCTCAGAGACTGAGTGAGTTCTGGTTCAAGATAGAACATATCAAGGGAACTAAGAACTCAGTGAATAGACCCTCTCACAGGCCAGACTATGTTAAGAAGGCCAGGGTGACAGACACAGAGGGGCTAGAGAAGGCAGAAAAGCTTCATGGAATGCTCAGACTGAGTGTTGTAAAGAGATTGACTGAAGAGTCTTTCAATCCCCTGTGAGAGAAGGGGGAGAAGGAAGGGAAGAAGTCTGTGCAACTACTCTCTGTGACACTGAGAGTCAACACTCTGAGAATCTCTGTGAGGATTCTTGAAGAGGGTATCTATAATCTGAAGAGTTTGCAGGCTTTGAGAAGCACTGTGAAAGACCTGGTGCAAGGGGAAACAGAGCATAAGTCTTTGCAAGATCTTCTATTCAGATTGTCTGAACTGCAACTGAAGAATGAATATACTCAGTATATTCAGAAACTGCTCACAGCAGGGATCAATCCTGCAGAAACAAAGAGTTGAAGAGACTTAAATGACCTCTTGCAAAGAGAGGGCTGGATTTATGTGCCTGCAAATGAGTTTCTATGTGTAGAACTCATTAAAAGACATCATGACTCTTCTCTAGCAGGTCATTTTGCAGACACTAGAACTCATGAGTTGCTTATAAGGAAATACTTCTGGCTGAAGATGCAAGGACTTGTGAAGGAGATAGTGAATTCTTGTGCTGTTTGTCAGGGTTCGCAGGTAGTGCAGTTCAGGTCATATGAAGAACTCACTTCTCTACTCATTCTGTGAGAACCTTGGGAACAGCTAGGAATGAATGCCCTTGTGAGCCTCTCTGAAAGCAAGGACATATATGATGCCTGTTTTGACAGTGTGCTGGTGATAGTGAATTGCTTTACTAAGATGACACACTTTATACTCACCTGCAAGGACTTGAAGTCAAAGGATTTGACTCACATCTTCATCTGCAATGTGATTCAGTTGCATGAATTGCCTGTGAACATTGTCTCAGACAGAGAATCAATCTTTGCAGGAGAGTTCTGATCTGATCTGATAACTATACTGAAGATCTCATGAGATCTAAGCACAGCTTTTCATCAACAGACAGATGATCAGACAGAATGCCTGATGAGTATATTGAAACAGTATCTGCAGTGCTTTGTCAATTACAATCAGAATGACTGAGTGCATTGATTGTCACTTGCAGAGTTCATATACAACAACTCAAAGCATGTCAGCACAGACAAAACCCTCTTTGAGATGCTCACTGAGACTCATTTGTGAATGACCTTGATGGACCCGCGAGAGTACACTATAGAGTGTGATGATGTCTGTGAACAGGCTGAGAGAATTCAGGAGATCTGGGAGGAAGCCTGTGAATCCTTGAGAAAGGCTCAAGAGTATCAGAAGAGATACTATGACTTCAAGCATATTGTAAAGAGTTTCAAGAAAGATGATAGAGTCTGACTGAGTCTAGAAAACATCATCATATGAAGATCTAGCAAGAAGCTGAATCTCTTGTAAACAGGGCCTTGCAAGATTGTGGAGAAAGTTAGCTCACAGTTCTACAGATTGAAACTGTCACCTGAGTTGCAGATGTACAATGTTTTTCATGTCTCTTTGCTCTGTGAATATAAGGAATTCTCAGAAGAGAATTCTGTGACTCATCACTCTGTCTGTGAAGCACTAGAGAGTGAAAGAGAATACCAGGTCAAAGGAATTATTGACTCAGAGAAGTGAGGTCATGAGCTCTGATTCAAGGTTCAGTGATAAGAATATTCTGACAAGATGAATGAGTTCACTTGAGAATCATCTGAGCAGATAAGACATCTGCAGAAGCTGAGACATGACTTTTATACTGTGAATTCTGATAAGTCAGAATGGCATGATCTTTGCTAAGAATCTGGTTGTGACAAAGACATTAACACTGTCATTTGCAAACCCTAGTCTACAAGATGATGAGTTTCTACTGAGATGAACAGTCTGCAGTGTATGCAAGGGAAGAAGAAAACATGTTCTCATTAAAGCTAAAAAACAAGAAAATAAACAGGGCCATGAATGCAATTTAGAGATTAATAAAGAAAAAACAAAGAAAACTCATACTCACATCATCAACATCTGCAACACTCAATCCCTCTACAACTATCAATTTTTCTCTTCAAAGGAGCAGAGAGCATCATGCCTGTGGTACAGACAATTGTTGCATTTGGTGTGAAGGCTGTCAGAAATGCACAGACTTCAGAGAAGCTGAACATCAGAACACATGCAGTTGCAGCAGGACCTTGAAGGCTGGCCATCTGTGCATGTGATCAGATATCTCTCATAAAGCTGTGTTCACTCTCTCAGTTGTGCTGGAGTATTCAGCCTGGAAACAATGAGAACACAGAGAGAGGGCTCATCTGTCCAGATCAACTTCTGTCATGAATTCATGACATTCACATTGCCTTGATTACCTGAATTTTGTGAGTACTCAGGGATCCATCTCCCATTAACAATGGGATTGTGGAAATGCACTGCGGCGTGAGGATCATTGACAGGGAATCTAGGCATATTCACATATGCCTGGTCAGAGATTGTGTGGGCAGGGGGGGGGTGGTTGTAGGCCTGCAGGACTGCAGGAGACACTGGCAACACTGAGAGCTTTGCAAGAACTGTCAGCTAGAATCTGTAAGGAATTACTTGTGAGAAGACTTACAGCAAAGGGGGAGACTGTGCTGCTTGGAGCCAGGGGCTGGCCTGGGGGAGGGATGGGGTGGGCCGCTGGCCTGAAGATCGGGTGTGATGGCGGGGCTGAGAGGGATGGAGGCGCGGTTGTGGGCGGCAGCGCCCCTGCTTCATCAGCTGGCAAAAAGTGATTAGAGGAGTTGCAGGGACGCTCATGAGAAGCTCAGTGATGATCAGACATTGTTTGCAAAGATATTGAAATTGAAAAATTTTTATTCTTGAGAAGTTCTTGAATCAATATATGAACATTGTCAGGAACACTCTCTCTCTGTCATCTGAGTGGAAACACTTTGTGAATGAATGAGAATACTCACAGTTTGTGAGGATGAGAGCTGTTACAGAAAAAGGAAAAAGAAGATGAGATTCTGCAGACAGATCTGAGGTATTTATACTACTCTAGAGAGGTTTACTTGCACTGTGAGTGATTCTGTGAAACAGTCAGATCACTCTAGCAAATAAGAGTGATTGTGAATTACAGGCCTGAATTCTTCTATGTGACTATAAAGGGTGATTGCAGACTGCAGATATCTTGATTCTACAATTCTACAGAGTTAGTGAAAGAATGGAAAATTCCTCACAATTCTACAGTGTCAAAGAGCAATGATTTGCAAGAATGAATGAAAGATCAACTCATGAATGTTTCTCTTTGATGAGGGTGATCTCACAGAGAGTGATTCACCTGTGAGATGGATCTGTGTGATGGTCACACAAGAATCTCATGGAAATGATTGAGAGTCAACTGGAACCCTTCTGTATGAAAGGTACAAGATGGATCTGTGTGGTAGTCAGAGAAGGATCTGTAGGTCACAAAGAACCTTGTGGAATAAGAAACTGAGTGACAGACTCTTTTCTCTTCATGATAACAAGGGATTTTTCCTCACTGAGGTTTTTTATAGATATGAAGGGTTTTTAGTGAGTATCACTGCAGTGCTGAGCTGACTATGAAGTCACTCAGTGAAAGGCTTCATGGATGAAGCCTTAGAGAGAGGGGGATATGTAAGAAATTCTGCTCCTTGCAGATTCTTTACCCCTATTCCTATCTCTCACATAATCAATAGGGCTAGCGGCCCTTGGCTACACACAACTATATAGACTGGAGTTCATGAATACTATTCATAACTCAGCTTGAATGCTATTATACATTTGACCTCTATATTTATCTTTCTACTGTGAACACTTCTAGTAGTTAACAGTACATATCACGCCAAGCTGCAAACACCTGAATAATCGCCTGCGAGCACTTATTCTTACATTCTAACAAAGTAATCATTCAGTGCACTCTGCTAGTTGTTTTTCCCGCTGAAATCATTATATTTCTCAGGTATGAATAGACTGGCCGCTGGAACCACGAATTTCATGTTTGATCTCATTTAATCTGATCTCATACATTTCTTGATGTGAATCTCACTGAGACTAGTCATTAAAAAAACATGCAAAGTGACTATATATGAGATCTTAAAATGAAATCATGACTTGAAAAAAATGAGAAAGTGATTTCATTTAGTCTCATTTAATCTTATTCTTAGTATAAAGTTACTATTTTTAGATATTTTAAGGTTTTTTTTAGACTATTTTTAATTTTTTTAAAAGTAACACTTTTTAATAACACTTAAATAAGATTTAAAGTTATTTAAAGTAATAAAAATAATTTAAATTAAGAAGTAAAAATTATAATCTTATTTGAAAAATGTGATAAAATGTAAGAGACTTACACTGAATAAATCAGTATAATATTGATAAATCTTATATAATAAAGAGAAAAACATTAGAGAAGAAAAGAAAGAGAAAGTGTGAGAATCAGTGATTAAAGTGAATATTTATATATATATGCAGTAATGTATGCAGTAGAACTTTGAGATGAAAGAATAGAGATTTTTACATATAGTAAAGCTTTGAGATGAAAGAATAGAAATTCTGTAAATTTTCAGCTGAGAATTAATAACTGAGAATCAGAGTAGTAGAAATCTATAAATATAAGAGATCTACACTGAATAGATCAGTATAATATTAATAGATCTTATATAATAAAGAGAAAAACATTAGAGAAGAAAAGAAAGAGAAAGTGTAGAAATCAGTGATTAGAGTGAATATTTATACATATATATAATAATGTATATAGTGAAGCTTCAGAGTGAAAGAATCTATATGTGTTTATAATAATCAAGAATCAGTGATTAAGAATGACTGAGTATCAGAGTATATATATTCAAGAGTGAAGTAGAAGAATCTATGAAGTATAATAAAATAGTCTATATAATTAATTAGACACAGTCTGCTATATTAGTTTCTCTCTTTTAAAAGCAGTTCTTATCAGTCAAGAACTTCTGTTTCAGATAACACAGAACTCAGAGTTCAGATCAGTTGATTATAACTAACTTATTTTATAAGATATTATCAGTTACAGCTGCAGAATCTCTTATCAAGAATATTCTCAATCTCTCACTCAAGCTTATTATCTTCTTCTATAATATCTGATAACTGTCAGTTAGAAGTCAGTTGAGAAGAGAACAGATCAGTGACAGTATAGTAAAGTAAGCTTATATAAAATATATTATAAATCTCTGATAATGTGTTAAGACAGTAGTTATAACTATCTAGAACTTCTATTACTTTATATCTGATATAGCAGTAATCTAGTATATAAGATAAATATGTGATTTGTATATTCTTAAGATTTAATTATATCAGATCTTCTATCTTATATTATTTAGCAGAGTCTCAGTGAATATTCATTTAATTCTCTTAATCTTGTTTCACAGTTATTATAAAGATCTCTGTTTAATTACAGATATCTCAGAGCTTTATTACTATATTATTAGCAATCTGAATTAAACTGTAAGAGTTCAGTGTGAACTGTGTAGTCTCTAAAAGATCTAACATCTTCATGTAATAACTGTGTGTAAGAAAGAACAGACTTATATCTATTAAAACAGTATCTTATTTATTGATAGCAATCTCTGTATATAGAAGTAGATCATATTCATTATCTTATAAGTGATTATAGAACTTACAGAGATAGTTCTTTACAGTCTGAATTATCTATTCTGATGTATTATCAGTCTCAGAGTGATAAGCAGTTAACAGACAGTGTATAATCTTAAGAACTTAACAGATTCTTATTCAGAAAGTACTTATAAATTAACAGTCTTAATTTAATACTATTAATCTCAGTAACTCATACATTTAATAGAATAAACTTCATAAGAAGACTTTAGCTAGACTGATTATATAACTGTGTCTAAGATCAGAATTAAACTTTATAGTTATTATATTATCTAAAAGTATTACTTCTGATCATGATTTATATTCATTACATTAATCTCAAATCATATTATTTCAAATATTAAAGATCTCAGATTCACTTTTCAAATAAAAATCTAGTCTCAGATAAAGAATATATTTGAATTCTTAGTCATATTTTCATTCTGATCTCATTATTGAGAATGATATTAAATAAGATTATGAAATTATTTCTTACTTACATAATATTATAACATAGTACTTATTTATTGAAAATTTAACAGAGAGTATTATTAAATATCATTACTTTTCTTAATATAGATTATAATTCATATAATTTTAATTATGAAAAAAATATAAAATATAAAAAAAAACAAAAAACAAAAAATAAAAACAAAAACAAGAAAAAATCACAATAAAAAAAGAAAAAAAAAGAGAAAGAAAAAAAAATAAAAGAAAAAGAAAAAAAGAAAAAATAAAAATAAAAAAAATCAAGATTGCAGAGCTGCAGTATTTTCAAAATACTTACTTCTTAGAGTCTTTGTAATAATCATTATTAACTGTGTATTTCTCACAGTGAGAGTAACACAGTTATGATGAGTTATTATCTTAATATTATCTAATAAATAATCAGTATATATCTGTATAAATGTGAATAATTAGAAAATATATACTTAAAAAGTATGATTAGAGTGAACTCTGCTATCACTTGAATAATATTAAGAGCAGAATGCTGAAATTGATAATTCTTCTCATTGATTTCACAGATAAGATATGTGAAGATAATCTTAAAAAATATAAGATTCTCTGACTTCTGATAAAAATAAATCTTATCAAGAGACTCTATTTTCATGATATTAGAGACTGAGTGTTATTAAAAAGTATTATTTTTATATAATATACATGCACTTACTGCAGTAATTCACTCTCTGTACATGTGACTGAGAGTTACAGCTTTCTCACACTGTATAACTCTTTCTGAGATACTGCTGTCAGTTTACAACTTATGCAGTCTCTCAGTTCAGTATACACTGTGTGTATACAGCTCTGTATACTGAGACTGTATTAATTATTATGATCTGACATGATACTCACTTTTTACAGATTATGTTTTGTTTGAGAAGAAAGAGAAAGACATGACTGTTATTTTATTAAAGAGAGAATAAATAATTAGTATTATTAAATATAATTTAATTCATCTATATTTAAAATTTAATTAGTCTATACTCTTCAATTTGAGAATTTCTAAGAGTGTTTTAATAGTTTTTATATTAGCTTGAACTTAGTAGTGAATTGAAGAAGAAGAGAAAAGAGAGAAGAAAGAAATGAGAATAACTTATCTTTATAATATAAAAACAGAGAATCACTGTAATTATTCTCTCTAGTAATAAAGATCTGTTTTCTGCATGTATCTCTGATATAGATTATATGATAAATGCATACAAAGAATATCAATAGTATATGTATTAAATGAAGATAATATTACTATGCAATACTGTAGCTGTTTCTGTACATCTCTGAAAGCTGTTAATAGTTTCTTTATCTCTTTATATTTGATAAGTCAATAATATATTCTGATACACTTTCTCTTTTATTATTATTATCATTACTATTATCATCATCATTATCATCATCATTATCATCATTATTATTACTATTATTATTATATTATTATCTGTCTTTATCTCTCTCTTAATACTTATTAAAATTAATTATATCATTTCTCTTCAAATATTCTGCGGTTCTGCAGATCATCAAGGCACGTGAGTACTATTACAGATTGAAGAGAGAGAAGAAGAAGATGTTTAAGTATAAGAAGACAGATTGTAAGACATGTTATAATACCTTGAAGAGACTCTGTAAAAAAGTAGAATAATAATGATTTTAAGTA